CATCTGTGACTAAAGTCCTACTCCCCTACCACATCTGTGACTAAAGTCCTACTCCCCTACCACATCTGTGACTAGAGTCCTACTCCCCTACCACATCTGTGACTAGAGACCTACTCCCCTACCACATCTGTGACTAGAGTCCTACTCCCCTACCACATCTGTGACTAGAGTCCTACTCCCCTACCACATCTGTGACTAGAGTCCTACTACCACATCTGTGACTAGAGTCCTACTCTCCTACCACATCTGTGACTAGAGTCCTACTCCCCTACCACATCTGTGACTAGAGTCCTACTCCCCTACCACATCTGTGACTAGAGTCCTACTCCCCTACCACATCTGTGACTAGAGTCCTACTCCCCTACCACATCTGTGACTAGAGTCCTACTCCCACATCTGTGACTAGAGACCTACTCCCCTACCACATCTGTGACTAGAGTCCTACTCCCCTACCACATCTGTGACTAGAGTCCTACTCCCCTACATCTGTGACTAAAGTCCTACTCCCCTACCACATCTGTGACTAGAGTCCTACTCCCCTACCACATCTGTGACTAGAGACCTACTCCCCTACCACATCTGTGACTAGAGACCTACTCCCCTACCACATCTGTGACTAGAGACCTACTCCCCTACCACATCTGTGACTAGAGACCTACTCCCCTACCACATCTGTGACTAGAGACCTACTCCCCTACCACATCTGTGACTAGAGACCTACTCCCCTACCACATCTGTGACTAGAGTCCTACTCCCCTACCACATCTGTGACTAGAGTCCTACTCCCACATCTGTGACTAGAGACCTACTCCCCTACCACATCTGTGACTAGAGTCCTACTCCCCTACCACATCTGTGACTAGAGTCCTACTGCCCTACCACATCTGTGACTAGAGTCCTACTCCCCTACCACATCTGTGACTAGAGTCCTACTCCCCTACCACATCTGTGACTAGAGACCTACTCCCCTACCACATCTGTGACTAGAGTCCTACTCCCCTACCACATCTGTGACTAGAGTCCTACTCCCCTACCACATCTGTGACTAGAGTCCTACTCTCTACTACATCTGTGACTAGAGTCCTACTCCCCTACCACATCTGTGACTAGAGTCCTACTCCCCTACCACATCTGTGACTAGAGTCCTACTCTCCTACCACATCTGTGACTAAAGTCCTACCCCCTACCACATCTGTGACTAAAGTCCTACTCCCCTACCACATCTGTGACTAGAGTCCTACTCCCCTACCACATCTGTGACTAGAGTCCTACTCGCCTACCACATCTGTGACTAGAGTCCTACTCCCCTACCACATCTGTGACTAAAGTCCTACTCCCACATCTGTGACTAGAGTCCTACTCCCCTACCACATCTGTGACTAAAGTCCTACTCCCACATCTGTGACTAGAGTCCTACTCCCCTACCACATCTGTGACTAAAGTCCTACTCCCACATCTGTGACTAGAGTCCTACTCCCCTACCACATCTGTGACTAAAGTCCTACTCCCACATCTATGACTAGAGTCCTACTCCCCTACCACATCTGTGACTAGAGTCCTACTCCCCTACCGCATCTGTGACTAGAGTCCTACTCCCCTACATCTGTGACTAGAGTCCTACTCCCCTACCACATCTGTGACTAGAGTCCTACTCCCACATCTGTGACTAGAGTCCTACTCCCACATCTGTGACTAGAGTCCTACTACCCTACCACATCTGTGACTAGAGTCCTACTCCCCTACATCTGTGACTAGAGTCCTACTCCCCTGACTACCTCTGTGAATATATTTTTAGAACAATTAATTAAAACCGATAAAATTACACGTGATTGTTTTCCCATCACACGTGAAACAATGACGTAGTACGCAGAGATCTCAAGCAGTCTATCAATGAAAGAGTTAGGTGTGCGACCCCTTCCTTGTTTAGCTACGCACCCATTTTGTTGTGCCGCCACCCGATCGTCCCAGGAATTTGTGTCGAATGTGCCTTCCTACAGTTCCTGAAGTTTCACATGTTCAGTGATCCCCTAAACGTAAAAATCTAGACCCCTCTTTACGGTAAAAAAAAAACCAACCAATGAAGAACACGATTAAAATCTGTTCAGCATTTTAAAATACTTTAGATCTACTTCGCTATAAAAAGTATAGTTGCCATAAAAAGCCGTAGGCCTTCTGTTCGATAACAATTTTCCTCTTTAATTTTTTAAAATGTTTATATTTTGTTTATCTTCCAGCGGTAGCTCTGATTTATACCACGAGCTTGACTATTTAGGTCTACTTAGTATGCTAGACCTACGCAGTGGCATCACGAGGTCGGGTATCACCCAGTATCCCTCAAAGACAATCTTTGCGGGGTACTAAAAGACGAATTAAGAACCGCTCTATTTCACCATAAAGTTTTGGAATGTTCTGTGTATATTATAAGCCGAATGTCCCACTGTGTTAGGCTAGGCCTAAAATTCTCTCAATCTCATTGGTCGAAACTTCTCCACGTGACAGTTCATTCACAAAGTACCGATCCTAGGTCGACCACCGTGTCGAGGGGCGCGCCGAGTGTTACAACAGACCGTTAGCGATAAATGAAAGCGAGAGTCTAGACGGGCTTCTGAGGATTTGCCGGTTTTGGTTGGGTCCTGGCCATGTGTGTGTAATGCTTTGCTCACAAGTTAAGGAATGTTAAGGATATCTGGTGTGGATATACATTTATTTCATACTCCAATTTTCGCCGTAAGTGTGATTATTTTATTTAGGCCTAGTAAGTTAATTTTTTTTAAATATGCCTAGGCCCTAGGCCCTAGGCCTATACTATTACTATTACTATTATACTTATAGGATAGGCCCTAAAAAATAAATATATTAATATATATTACTAATTAGGCCTATATATTATTATTTTATAATAATGGACCTGTACTAATCTAGATCTAGATCTACAGGCTGTAGGACTGTAGGGGTAACTGTAACGTGAAACGTCCAACATAAAAAAAAAGCCTCATTACGACTTTTTTTTTGTTTGTTTTAGTTTAACTTAGCCTTTTACCTGGGGGTTTAAAGACAACGGCAAAAAAAAAAAGGCTTAGGCCCCTAGCCTAGCCTAGATCTAAATCTAGAAATCTGTCTAGATTTTCGAACTAGAAAGTTTCTAGAAACTTGTAAACTATAATACCTTTAATAGCCTATGGCCAGAGTTTTTTCCAGGCATCTCTTCGGGGGGGGGGGGGGGGGGGGGGGGGGGGGGGGGGGGCGAAGCCCCCCCCCCCCCCCCCGAATTTTTTTACCGCCCACACCCCCCCCCGAATTTTTTTAACCGCCCACACCCCCCCCCCCGAACGAAATGAAATTTATATAATTTATATAGAAAATATATAGATCTAGATTCTACTTTTTAACAGTGCCCGTCCCCCCCCCGGAGAAAAGTTTACCGCCCCCCCCCCGAAAATTTCAAGTGCCCCCCCCCCCCCCGGAGAAAAAAGTCTGGAAGAAACACGCCTATGGCCTATACTAATACTAGATCTATAGGCCTATATATTATAAATATTTCCTATATGCCTATATAAAATAAAACTAATCTTAGTAATCTAAATCTAGACTAGAATCTAGAATCTATTTTAGATCTATTCAATTTTAGATTTAGACCGCTAGGCCTGAATAATAGATGAATCAATTGTTTTGTAAGGTAGTCTTGTGGGGTGAAATGTTTTTGTGGTAGCCCTGTGTGAAAAGTGTGTGAAATTTTTGTAAGGTGTGTGTGATAGCCCTCCTTGTGTGAAATGTTTGTGTGTGGTAGCCTTTTAAATGCCTGCATTCAAAGAGTTGTGTGCATTGTTTAGCCTCGAGTTACAGGCTACAGATGTATAACTGCTAGCTTCTAGATCTGGCTTTAAAAATGGCCACAAGACAATTATAGCTACTGGCTTGCAGCCATACCATTTGCTCTATTTAAATATCTGTTTTCAGGATTTCTCATGTTCAGCAGGATGTAAGCTGTGGAGACTCTCATAACACCATCCACTGGTGACTACAACATTTTGTCATTAAATTACACAGCAATTCTTGAACTCTCAGTCAAGTAGACTAGACCAGATACTCTCAGTCAAGTAGACCACGATAGATTTTGTGCATTCATCAAAACTCTCAGTCAAGCAGACCACGCTAGATTTTGTGCATTCAATGAAAGACAAGAAGTGCCCAGAGTTTGTTTTCATGCCATTGAAAGATGGAGCCGGAGGGCAACCCCCTAGGAGTAGTGAGGGGGTTGCTCAACCCCCTAGGAGTAGTGAGGGGGTTGCTAAAGATGGAAGGTTGGCTGACCACAAAGAAGTGCGGTCCCAAGATTGTACTGGTGGGTCCATGTGGTTGTGGGAAAACAGCCTTGATTCATCAATACGTGCATTCTTCATTTCTGCAGGTAAACTAGCAATCTTTAGGTCTAATACCTTCTGTGAGTGACAGCTCTAAATGTCAGTGGCAACCCTCTGTCAATGACAACCCTCTATAATAACAACTGTCTACCCTCCTTACATTCAGTTGTGCTGTATGTACATGTGGGAAATTTTGTCTGACCTAGATACAGCAGCTCGCTTCTAAAAATAGCTTAGCCTGAAAGACCCTAGTATCTCGGGGCTTAGATAGTGGGAAGGTATGTCCTCAATGTGGCAGGCGGGAGGGGCGTGCAGGGGAGGGGCGTGCAGGGGAGGGGTGTGCAGGCGGGGCGTTGAATGGAGTGCTGGGTGTTTATTTAAGTTGTTGTGTGTATGTCTTCATCAGGCATCTGCTTTGTCTTTAGTTGGCTGGTGCCATTTTATGTTGTATGTTGTTTGTGTCTCTATGTGGTTGTTGTCAGTTACATGTCACCACCACAGTTACATGTCACCACCACAATGTTACATGTCACCACCACACTGTTACATGTCAACCACCACAGTTACATGTCACCACCACAGTTACATGTCACCACCACAGTTACATGTCACCACCACACTGTTACATGTCCACCACCACAGTTACATGTCACCACCACAGTTACATGTCACCACCACAGTTACATGTCACCATCACAGTTACATGTCACCACCACAGTTACATGTCACCACCACAGTTACATGTCACCACCAGTTACATGTCACCATCACAGTTACATGTCACCATCACACAGTTACATGTCACCATCACAGTTACATGTCACCACCACACTGTTTACATGTCACCACACAGTTACATGTCACCACCACACTGTTACATGTCACCACCACAGTTACATGTCACCCACCACAGTTACATGTCACCACCACACTGTTACATGTCACCACCCACACTGTACATGTCAACACCACAGTTACATGTCACCACCACAGTTACATGTCACCACCACACTGTTACATGTCACCACCACAGTTACATGTCACCACCACAGTTACATGTCACCACCACACTGTTACATGTCACCACCACAGTTACATGTCACCACCACAGTTACATGTCACCACCACAGTTACATGTCACCACCCACAGTTACATGTCACCATCACAGTTACATGTCACCACCACACTGTTACATGTCACCACCACACTGTTACATGTCACCACCACAGTTACATGTCACCACCACAGTTACATGTCACCACCACCACAGTTACATGGTCACACCACTGTTACATGTCACCACCACAGTTACATGTCACCACCACACTGTTACATGTCACCACCACAGTTACATGTCACCACCACAGTTACATGTCACCACCACAGTTACATGTCACCATGCTGTTGTGTTCAACTCCAGATACACTTTGAATTGAGACCTAAACCTTGAATGTAAAATATTTTTTTTACATCTTTCCTATATGTGGTCACATCTGCTGCTTTGTGATCAAATCTATACCCAAGTCAGAGGGAATGGTATTGGTGTAATCTGAGGGACGGTATTGGTGTAATCAGAGGGAATGGTATTTGTGTAATCAGAGGGAATGGTGTTGGTGTAATCAGGGGAAATGGTATTGGTGTAATCAGGGGAAATGGTATTGGTGTAATCAGGGGGAATGGTGTTGGTGTAATCAGGGGAAATGGTATTGGTGTAATCGGGGGGAATGGTGTTGGTGTAATCAGGGGAAATGGTATTTGTGTAATCAGAGGGACGGTATTGGTGTAATCAGAGGGAATGGTATTTGTGTAATCAGAGGGAATGGTGTTGGTGTAATCAGGGGAAATGGTATTGGTGTAATCAGGGGAAATGGTATGGGTGTAATCAGGGGGAATGGTGTTGGTGTAATCAGGGGAAATGGTATTGGTGTAATCAGGGGGAATGGTGTTGGTGTAATCAGGGGAAATGGTATTTGTGTAATCAGAGGGAATGGTATTGGTGTAATCAGAGGGAATGGTATTGGTGTAACCAAAGGGAATGGTAGTGATGTAATCAGAGGGAATGTATTGGTGTAACCAAAGGGAATGGTAGTGATGTAATCAGAGGGAATGGTGTTGGTGTAATCAGGGGAAATGGTATTGGTGTAATCAGGGGGAATGGTGTTGGTGTAGTCAGGGGAAATGGTATTGGTGTAATCAGGGGAAATGGTATTGGTGTAATCAGGGGGAATGGTGTTGGTGTAATCAGGGGAAATGGTATTGGTGTAATCAGGGGGAATGGTGTTGGTGTAATCAGGGGAAATGGTATTGGTGTAATCAGGGGGAATGGTGTTGGTGTAATCAGGGGAAATGGTATTGGTGTAATCAGGGGAAATGGTATTGGTGTAATCAGGGGAAATGGTATTGGTGTAATCAGGGGGAATGGTGTTGGTGTAATCAGGGGAAATGGTATTGGTGTAATCAGAGGGACGGTATTGGTGTAATCAGGGGAAATGGTATTGATGTAATCAGAGGGAATGGTGTTGGTGTAATCAGGGGAAATGGTATTGGTGTAATCAGAGGGAATGGTATTGATGTAATCAGAGGGAATGGTATTGATGTAATCAGAGGGAATGGTATTGGTGTAATCAGAGGGAATGGTATTGGTGTAACAAGAGGGAATGGTATTGGTGTAACAAGAGGGAATGGTATTGGTGTAATCAGAGGGAATGGTATAGATGTAGCCAGAGGGAATGGTATTGATGTAATCTGAGGGAATGGTATAGATGTAATTGGAGGAACATTTATTGGTGTAATCAGAGGGAATGGCATTGGTGCAGTCAGAGGGAATGGTATTGATGTAATCAGTGGGAATGGTATAGATGTAGCCAGAGGGAATGGTATTGATGTAATCTGAGGGAATGGTATAGATGTAATTGGAGGAAAATTTATTGGTGTAATCAGAGGGAATGGTATATATGTAATAAGAGGGAATGGTATTGATGTAATCAGAGGGAATGGTATTGATGTGTGGCTGTGATTTATTGATGTGTAATACCTCCTACCTCGCCTTCATTAGATTGCTCTTCCCCCACTCATCCCCCACCCACCAGCGATGAAATTCTCTTCTTCACATATCTTATAGATAAAATCTGCTATGCCCCTCTCCCCCCCCCCCAACTTAGAGATACGCCCTGCTAGTCCCTCTATTTACTTTCTGTATCCCCTTTGCCCCTCGGGTATACGGTAAACAGGAGGAAAATATTTGCTTGTAAATGGTGTGTGTGTTAGGCGGGTCTTGCTGTGGTCATTAGTCGCTGTTGTGTTAGCTGTTGTCTCGTGTGTTAGCTGTTGTCTCGTGTGTTAGCTGTTGTGTTAGCTGTTGTCTCGTGTGTTAGCTGTTGTCTCGTGTGTTAGCTGTTGTGTTAGCTGTTGTCTCGTGTGTTAGCTGTTGTCTCGTGTGTTAGCTGTTGTCTCGTGTGTTAGCTGTTGTCTCGTGTGTTAGCTGTTGTCTCGTGTGTTAGCTGTTGTCTCGTGTGTTAGCTGTTGTGTTAGCTGTTGTCTCGTGTGTTAGCTATTGTCTCGTGTGTTAGCTGTTGTCTCGTGTGTTAGCTGTTGTGTTAGCTGTTGTCTCGTGTGTTAGCTGTTGTCTCGTGTGTTAGCTGTTGTGTTAGCTGTTGTCTCGTGTGTTAGCTGTTGTCTCGTGTGTTAGCTGTTGTGTTAGCTGTTGTCTCGTGTGTTAGCTGTTGTGTTAGCTGTTGTCTCGTGTGTTAGCTGTTGTCTCGTGTGTTAGCTGTTGTGTTAGCTGTTGTCTCGTGTGTTAGCTGTTGTGTTAGCTGTTGTCTCGTGTGTTAGCTGTTGTCTCGTGTGTTAGCTGTTGTGTTAGCTGTTGTCTCGTGTGTTAGCTGTTGTCTCGTGTGTTAGCTGTTGTCTCGTGTGTTAGCTGTTGTGTTAGCTGTTGTCTCGTGTGTTAGCTGTTGTCTCGTGTGTTAGCTGTTGTCTCGTGTGTTAGCTGTTGTCTCGTGTGTTAGCTGTTGTGTTAGCTGTTGTCTCGTGTGTTAGCTGCTTAGGGGCAGCTGTGTACACCGACTTCTGTGTACACACTTGTTCACAGGTTTTGTGTACATATTTGTTCATGATTAAGCCGTCTTAAGCCGTTATGTAATCACAGCAGCTATTACATATTGTGTAAGAGAGGGCTGTGGTCGGTTATGTTGGTGGTTGTGTGGTAGGTTTGATTGGGCATGTGGTTGTATGGCAGGTTGGGTTGGTGGTTGTATGGCAGGTTGGGTTGGTGGTTGTATGGCAGGTTGGGTTGGTGGTAGGTTGGGTTGGTGGTAGGTTGGGCATGTGGTTTTGTGGCAGGTTGGGTTGGTGGTTGTATGGTAGGTTGGGTTGGTGGTTGTATGGTAGGTTGGGTTGGTGGTTGGATGGTAGATGGTGAGCTCACACATTCGTGGCTCCATAGAAAATCTTACAGCCTGAGCTTTCCCCTTTCTCTTTATTCATTCAATCCTTGGTGTCGTTTATCATTTTGATACTTAATAACCCATTCATATAATTATCTCCCCTCCCTATACTTACGTAAACTGTTTTGACTATGTTATGATTTCCCTCCTCAGACTTACGTTCCGACTGGCTTCGATACCTACACAAGTCAGTACAGTGTGTCAGACAACTACAAAATTTACATGTCAATATGGGACACCTCAGGTAAGCTTTTCACCTGGCCTGTAAGGGCCGTTTGTGTGGGGCCTGTAAGGGCCGTTTGTGTGGGGGTGAGGGAGATAATTATCTGGGGTCACGGAATGGTAAGTGACAAAATAGCTACACACGTCAGCGGGTAGAGGTGGTGAGGTAGCAGCATCGTATGTTGACGCATACACCGACATCATTATATAGATAAATATACATATATATACATACATACAACACACACAAACACACACACACACACATATATATATATATATATATATATATATATATATATATATATATATATATATATATATATATATATATACACACACACACAATACGTTAGCCGATTTTAATCTGTGGAAATTCGGCTACAACTAAACCATTTCAGAGGTCTAAATATAGACTTAGCATTAAACAGCCGCTACAAATTCTGTGGTACTTTCACACTCGATGTTAGTCGCGTTTTGCTCAGTATGGTGCTACAGTTACTTTTCTTGTAGCCAGAGTTGTTAATAGCAGCTTAAACCTGCTGGGGGGGGGGGGGGGTCAGGAGATAAACCTGCTGGGGAGGGGGTCAGGAGAAAAAAAATTGGAGTGATGCCCAGCTGGCAGCTTATCAGTTAAATAAAAACACGGAGCAATCTATTTTGGCAGTTTATTTACCACCTGATTCAATGGCTTATATGCGTAGATGTTCACGTAAGCTGTGGTGGCCACAGCAGTGTACATGGCCACACTAGCCCGGGGTACATGGCCACACTAGCCCGGGGTACACGGCCACACTAGTGTACATGGCCACACTAGCCCGGGGTACATGGCCCCACTAGCCCAGGGTACATGGCCACACTAGTGTACATGGCCACACTAGTGTACATGGCCACACTAGCCCGGGGTACATGGCCACACAAGTGTACATGGCCACACTAGACCGGGGTATATGGCCACACTAGTGTACATGGCCACACTAGACCGGGGTATATGGCCACACTAGTGTACATGGCCACACTAGCCCGGTGTACATGGCCACACAAGTGTACATGACCACACAAGTGTACATGGCCACACAAGTGTACATGGCCACACAAGTGTACATGGCCACACAAGTGTACATGGCCACACAAGTGTACATGGCCACACAAGTGTACATGGCCACACAAGTGTATATGGCCACACAAGTGTACATGGCCACACAAGTGTACATGGCCACACTAGCCCGGGGTACATGGCCACACAAGTGTACATGGCCACACAAGTGTACATGGCCACACAAGTGTACATGGCCACACTAGCCCGGGGTACATGGCCACACTAGCCCGGGGTACATGGCCACACTAGTGTACATGGCCACACAAGTGTACATGGCCACACAAGTGTACATGGCCACACAAGTGTACATGGCCACACAAGTGTACATGGCCACACAAGTGTACATGGCCACACAAGTGTACATGGCCACACTAGTGTACATGGCCACACAAGTGTACATGGCCACACAAGTGTACATGGCCACACAAGTGTACATGGCCACACAAGTGTACATGGCCACACAAGTGTACATGGCCACACAAGTGTACATGGCCACACAAGTGTACATGGCCACACAAGTGTACATGGCCACACAAGTGTACATGGCCACACAAGTGTACATGGCCACACAAGTGTACATGGCCACACAAGTGTACATGGCCACACTGGATGGTATGAAGTGACACTAAGCTAGATGAGTTCTACATTTTTCACTCTACTGAAGACGTCCATCACAAACCAATGTTTTAAATAACGGTCGTTTTAGTGGGGGGGGGGGGGGGGGGGGTTTGATGGCTCACATGCTCTAGAAGTGTTTGGGGGGGGGGGGGGCAGCATAATCGCTCACATGCTCTAGCAGCGTGAGAAGTTTCTAGCACGACAACCTTGATGCACCCCCCCCCCATCCTTTGTCTCTCTGTGATGTAAACCCACCGCCCCTGCCCCGCCAAACCCCGTTACTTCAGCTGTTTGGTTTTCATCCACCCCTAGCCTTTTCCCACAAGTGATCTACTTGCTTTATGTCAGCTGCTTTTTCAAACGCTACGTGTGATCATTATAACCACCCTCTGCTCATTACTACCGTGGTCTGCTTGCTACTGACGCTGGTCTGCTTGCTACTGACGCACATTACCACCGTGGTCTGCTTGCTACTGACGCTGGTCTGCTTGCTACTGACGCACACCACCACCGTGATCTGCTTGCTACTGACGCACATTACCACCGTGGTCTGCTTGCTACTGACGCACCTCACCAGCGTGGTCTGCTTGCTACTGACGCACCTCACCAGCGTGGTCTGCTTGCATTATCTCAACTCACCATGCTTCTGGCTTACATCCAGACCTAACCTGTAAGCCACACTTAACATGCTGCAAGCACGACCCCTACCCTGGCTTTTCAATCTAAGCGTCTAATTTGGTTGCAGCGGGGTGGGGAGGTGAGGGGGGGGGGGTAGGTTTGATCTTCAGTTAATGATACGCGCTGAGGGCTTGACGTGTTGAAAAGTGAGTGAATTCATGTCTAGACAGTCAGCTCACTGCGTGCGTTTATCAATGCTCCCGACTTGATCTTGGCTGACATTTACCGTGCTTTATCTGGCACAGAGAGGAGGCTGGGGGTTCAAAGTTCAAGGGCTTTACCAATCGAATGAATAGGATGGCATGACAATACTTTATCGCAGCAGTCTTTCATCTCCTGTTCAAATACAGTAACACTGGTATATGGGAGCATGGCTGGCCCATTAGTTGACAATCTTTGGCCATAGCTGGCCCATTAGTTGACCGACTTTGGCCATTAGTTGACCGTCTCTGGTCATGGCTGGCCCATTAGTAGACCGACTTTGGCCACGGCTGGCCCATTAGTTGACCGACTTTGGCCATGGCTGGCCCATTAGTTGACCGACTTTGGCCATTAGTTGACCGACTTTGGCCATTAGTTGACCGACTTTGGCCATTAGTTGACCGACTTTGGCCATGGCTGGCCCATTAGTTGACCATAAAGCTGGTGATGGTGTAGTAAAACTGTTTCCTCTTGTTTCAGGTGACGTGGGCTATGACAGGGTCAGGCCCTTGTCCTACACAGAGTGTGATTTGGTCATTATTTGTTTTGCCATTGACAAACCAGAAAGTCTAGACGATGTTGTCTCAAAGGTAAGCATTGGTTGTCGGGGCGAAATATAGTTCCTGCTTTCTTCTTGGGGAATGGGAGTGTGTACACTAATGTGTAATGGGGATGTGTATACCACTTAGTAATTGGATTCATGAAGAGATTAAATCAGGGTTTTGTTAGATAGGCACCAGCTATTTCAGTAACATAGTCAATAGCTCTAAGAGATAATCCACCACAAGCCATAGCACCACAAGATAATCCAGCATAGCAGCTAATCCCCCAGCCAGCCATGTAACCCCTGCCTATTGTCCCCCAGTGGTACCCTGAAGTGAAGGAGCAGTGCCCCAGTGTCCCCATCATGTTGGTAGGCTGCAAGTCTGACATGCGCACACAGATCAAGTCAATGTCTCCTGACAAAGTCAGGCCTGCCTTTGTTACATATGACCAGGTAAACCTCCATCTTACCTATGTTTAAACAAGTCTTTATCATTACAAACTTGTCATTATTCAGTATATTTACCCTTATTATTATAAACAGTAGCGTAAATTGTTGTTTTACTGTTAGTTCAAAAGGTTTAGATAATATCAAATATTTAAAGAATCTTATTCTGACTCCACCTACTTTACTGTTAGTTTAAAAGGTTTAGATAATGTCAAACGTTTTAAGAATCTTATTCTGACTCCACCTACTTTACTGTTAGTTTAAAAGGTTTAGATAATGTCAAACGTTTAAAGAATCTTATTGTGACTCCACCTACTTTACTGTTAGTTTAAAAGGTTTAGATAATGTCAAAAGTTTAAAGAATCTTATTCTGACTCCACCTACTTTACTGTTAGTTTAAAAGGTTTAGATAATGTCAAAAGTTTAAAGAATCTTATTCTGACTCCACTTATGTCCTCCAGGGCCTAAAGACAGCCAAGCACATTGGAGCTCTGGTCTACTCTGAGACCTCAGCCAAACTCTCCCAGAGGAGCGTCAATGATGTCATGGAGGTCGCTGCCCTCTCCTCAGCAGGCTCTAAGAATGGCTGCTCATTCAACAGCAGCAGCGGCACCACAACCACCGCCAGCAACGGCAGCGCTGGCAGCAGTGCCAACAGCAGCAGCAGTGGGGAGAGTCCCAGCTTCAGACGACAGCGCTCTTTTAGTCGAAGAAAAGGGTTTAGTGGCATGAATGAGGCCAAAGTTCACCTGCGTAAGGAAGCGGCCAAGAGCTGCATTGTCATGTGATGAACTCAAGGGTCATGTGACTGCTAGATTTGGCCCAATGTGAATACACTGTAAATATATAAAGTACATTTCACCTGCTTTTCAAGGGATTTTATCTGTGGATTTCTCCATTTTATTGAAATCATGGATTTCTCCATTATTCTTTAATAGAAATCATTGAGTTTGTAGATCCAGTTCATCTTGTTTAATTACAGTAATTCTAGTTTTGGGCTGTCAGCAGCTGATTATTAACACATTAACATAATTGAGCTGTTAGCCATCACTTCATTTTGTGATACAAGAAAACTAGCACACCTGCTGTGCTGATCTGAACACAGCTCATGTTAGACTACACACAATACGTGTGTTTCTTTAGCACACCTCACAAGCTAGTCATGATATTTATTTATCTGTTGCATTTATAGTTGGTTCACAGATTCACTTGTATTGGTTTGGTTTAGTTAGTCTAGACATGTCAGCTTTCTAGTAAAATGTCAGGTTCACTAGCTAGAAGATGACTGTTAGCGAGGTGGGTTAACTGTGAAGGTTGGTGTTAGTTCATTCCTGTTTCAAACTGAGCCATCATGTGTGAGAAATGTAGGTTTGCGATGTGCTTTCCTTGAGTGATGTAATATAACACTGCAGTATTGACTTATTTATTATCCATTCAAGAGATTTATGTCACCCTTTTAATGTTGTCGTCTGTGTGGGTCACCCTGTTGTCACAAGTCACCCTGCTGTCTTGTGTATCACACTGCTGTCTTGTGTATCACTATGCTGTCTTGTGCATTACAGGGCTGTCTTGTGTATCACCCTGCTGTCTTGTGCATTACACTGCTGTCTTGTGCATTACACTGCTGTCTTGTGCATTACACTGCTGTCTTGTACTTGGCAGTGAGGAATATCTGATGTCAGTTTGCATGTACCTAGAAATGTATTTCAACTCTACCTGAAAATATTGCTATGTAAAAAGACACTTGTTACACAGCTAAATATTTGTGCTGGCTGTTTGCTTCAGTGATGCCAAGTAGCAGCATAGCAAGTCAAACAAAAATATATTTTGTCCATGTTGGGTGTCTGACTAGCTGGGTGTCTGACTAGTTGGGTGTCTGATTAGCTGGGTGTCTGATTAGCTGGGTGTCTGACTAGCTGGGTGTCTGACTAGCTGGGTATCTGATTAGCTGGGTGTCTGACTAGCTGGGTGTCTGACTGTCTGGGTGTCTGACTAGCTGGGTGTCTGACTGTCTGGGTGTCTGACTAGCTGGGTGTCTGACTAGCTGGGTATCTGACTAGCTGGGTGTCTGACTAGCCGGGTGTCTGACTAGCTGGGTGTCTGACTAGCCGGGTGTCTGACTAGTTGTATGTCTGACTAGCTGGGTGTCTGACTAGCTGGGTGTCTGACTAGCTGGGTGTCTGACTAGCTGGGTGTCTGACTAGCTGGGTGTCTGACTGTCTGGGTGTCTGACTAGCTGGGTGTCTGACTGTCTGGGTGTCTGACTAGCTGGGTGTCTGACTAGCTGGGTGTCTGACTAGCTGGGTATCTGACTAGCTGGGTGTCTGACTAGCTGGGTGTCTGACTAGCCGGGTGTCTGACTAGTTGTATGTCTGACTAGCTGGGTGTCTGACTAGCTGGGTGTCTGACTAGCTGGGTGTCTGACTACCTGGGTGTCTGACTAGCTGGGTGTCTGACTGTCTGGGTGTCTGACTAGCTGGGTGTCTGACTGTCTGGGTGTCTGACTAGCTGGGTGTCTGACTAGCTGGGTGTCTGACTAGCTGGGTGTCTGACTAGCTGGGTGTCTGACTAGCTGGGTGTCTGACTAGTTGTATGTCTGACTGACTGGGTGCTGTATAAAACCTGACACAGATCACAAAAGCTCTCCACATCATCTTGTTGTATTTATGTGACATGTGAATCTTAAACTGTTTTTTCTCCTTATACAAATAATCCATGATTTAGTGAAGTAACACAACAGATATACTGTGGTCAAATTTTCATTGTAAGAAACCTGACCTAGTCAGCTGTTTCTTTAAAGGCCCTAGTTTGTGTTATCTTTTTGTACACTCTCCAATGTGAGGAGATAGACAATGTCATTGCATGCCCTCAGACAGCATTGAATGTTTATTTAACCTGTGGAAGTGGCCTTAATAATTGTACTCAATTTTACATGATCGCCATCAAAGTGACCTTATGACCTTGATTGATCGGCCATTAAACAATTTTTTCTTAAAATTGGCAAATACACCTGCTGCATAACATGGGGTCCAGTGTGTGCCAGACAACTCTGACTAGTCCACGGAAGGGGCTGATTGTATGGGTTATTTCCCTTTCCTAGACATGGCGCAGTGGTTCACGCCATCAGAAGATGGAAGACATGACCTTGGCATTGCTGGCTACTTGGGACTCCCATATTTTAAGTCTTTCATTGTTTCATTGTTCAATTTTTATTGTGAAATGTTTTTTTTTTCTTATTAAATGATTACTAGTTATAAAATGGTTGAAAAATTGATGTTGTATTTTCAATTTATTGTGTGCACATGAATGTGTTCTTCAGATATTTCTTCTGTGTACTATGTGTCATTGTGGAATCGATGGTTTACACTTAAAATCACATTTAATATTTCTGTTAAGTCAGTGGCGTAGCGAGGTCGGGTGTCACTTAATGGTGTCACACCCCAGAGGCGTAGCGACCCTTCCCGGGGACAAACTTTCAAATTTTCGATTTGCACCCCCCCCCCTCAAACTTTCGATTTGCACCCACCCCCCAAGTTTTTCTCTATATATTTTGCTATTTTTTGTCTTGGTGTCACCCCCCTAAATGATGTCACCCGGTGCGGTCCGCACACCCCCCCCCCCCCCCCCCCCCGCTACGCCTCTGTGTTAAGTTGATTTTAGAAAGACAATTTCGAATATATTTTTTTCTAGAAATAGATATCTTAAAAATAAAAACATGTTGATGGCAAAACAGTATTTAACAGATTACCAGTATAGCACAATAAAGATTGAACATTCGGTGTGGTAAACTTGAATTATCTGAATATGGTAAACTTGAGTTATCTGAATATCATTAGGGGGCTGGTGGAACTATTTGGACGGACGGCAAGTCATTGTTACCAGGCTTTACGTCCGCTCTGGTCAAACATCACTCTAACTGCTCAGATTTATGGTAGGCCTACACGAGGGGCGTTATACAGAATGGACACGTACAATGTTCACCATTATTTTTACAGTAAGGCCGTCCGACAAACAACACACTTGTTCTTTTGACGCTCATCCGGGTCACAACACTAAGACAATGACGTAACCGGATGTCAGTATGTGAGTAATTGACGATTGGTTTTGCTAGGCTGTCATGAACTTGAGTTTAGCAGACGATTTGAGGGTTAGGTTCGATTAGTGACTTGGGATGACTGAAACTGTCAGAACTCTACGGACCAGGAACTGAGTCCCTGCCAGTAATATTTTACTTTCAAACAGAATGTGTTCGTGATGGTAGCCAAGTCAAGCAGGAAGTGTATTGCAAACAGCTTGGTTTCGCTGTGTCGCCTACGTTTTATTTCAGGTCACACAACTTATAAACAAGCATCAGATCCTTACACTTTAACCAGGACATTTAGTGTTCACGTAAATAATTCATCTACACCCCCCCCCCCTCCCCCGAAGCGTAGTTCCAGATTGCTTTCCACTTCTGCTCTTGTATATTAAGAGACATCATTATACGTTACTAGCGTACCCGTCCACGTTGCTGCGATCTAGTCCTTCACACCATTCACAAAACATTTTATAAGTGTTTCATTAGCACGATAACAATGATGTATTGTTAGACTTTTGGCTTTGATTTCTAAAACTGAGTTTCATGTAAACAAAGCCGGCGCTATATTTCTTGGATCTTAGCTTTTTGGGACGCGGGTTTGTCCACACTATAGTCCAGACGCCCCAGGGTTTGTCCACACTACAGTCCAGACGCCCCAGGGTTTGTCCACACTATAGTCCAGACGCCCCAGGGTTTGTCCACACTATAGTCCAGACGCCCCAGGGTTTGTCCACACTATAGTCCAGACGCCCCAGGGTTTGTCCACACTATAGTCCAGACGCCCGAGGGTTTGTCCACACTACAGTCCAGACGCCCCAGGGTTTGTCCACACTACAGTCCAGACGCCCCAGGGTTTGTCCACACTATAGTCCAGACGCCCCAGGGTAAACAAAGCCGGCGCTATATTTCTTGGATCTTAGCTTTTTGGGACGCGGGTTTGTCCACACTACAGTCCAGACGCCCCAGGGTTTGTCCACACTACAGTCCAGACGCCCCAGGGTTTGTCCACACTATAGTCCAGACGCCCCAGGGTTTGTCCACACTACAGTCCAGACGCCCCAGGGTTTGTCCACACTATAGTCCATACGCCCCAGGGTTTGTCCACACTATAGTCCAGACGCCCCAGGGTTTGTCCACACTATAGTCCAGACGCCCGAGGGTTTGTCCACACTACAGTCCAGACGCCCCAGGGTTTGTCCACACTACAGTCCAGACGCCCCAGGGTTTGTCCACACTATAGTCCAGACGCCCCAGGGTAAACAAAGCCGGCGCTATATTTCTTGGATCTTAGCTTTTTGGGACGCGGGTTTGTCCACACTACAGTCCAGACGCCCCAGGGTTTGTCCACACTACAGTCCAGACGCCCCAGGGTTTGTCCACACTATAGTCCAGACGCCCCAGGGTTTGTCCACACTATAGTCCAGACGCCCCAGGGTTTGTCCACACTATAGTCCAGACGCCCCAGGGTTTGTCCACACTATAGTCCAGACGCCCCAGGGTTTGTCCACACTATAGTCCAGACGCCTGAGGGTTTGTCCACACTACAGTCCAGACGCCCCAGGGCGTGCTGTGTGGAAGCCTTAAGCGTGCATTAATTGCCCTCTGTTTAGTCATCAACTGGAGTAGCTGGACGTAGGAGTGCTCTTTAACACGAACATAGGTGCCATAGTGTTCATAGGGGAGCCGGGGAGTCCGCCCCCGTTGTAGTTGAATCAAGTAGTAACCTTGCCCCAATCAACGGACCCCATGTGCTCTGGTAGCCACTGGGAAACTCAGGGCGCCCATCCGTACTCTATTGCCGGGGCGCTCAAAGACGCCTGCTGTTAGATTTAGTCATCAGCTTTAGTAGTAGATGGCGCTATTTGAAATGAATGTAGGCGCCATAGTGATTTTCCGACTTTCCATGACCACAATCAATACGCTGCAACTGACGATAAGGGCTTGTCCTGTCTGCAAACAACCAGCCAATATGGCAGCATCATCTCTGTAGATCAGGGGAGAAGCACAACCTCTCTCTCTCTGCAACTTTCGGGTTTCCGGTAGAGAAAGTAGCAGCAGTTTGTTACTGAAAACAGGCCGCCCAGCTCTCCTTTTAAAATGGACCATTGTTTCTTCCAGGTATCTCTTCGCCCCCCCCCCCCCCCTTCACAAAACACGTCTAACCCCCCTGCCCCTGAACGAAATTTATTTATATAGAAAATATCTAGAAAAAAATAATTTTTTAACCACAACTCCCCCCCCCCCACCCCCCCCCCCCCCCACTCACCCAAAGTTTCAAGTGCCCCGATGAAACAATACGATTCCGAGTACTGTTTTGTTCTTAAAAATAATGTAAGTGAAATAGTTACTCGATTTACTTGCTTAAAAAGCCCGCAATTCCCTGTGCTACATGGTTGTTACGCCACTGCTTGAAATTATTGGCTCTTTCTACTGCTTTAGGGCGTGGTATGGTAGGTAATGCTTAATTAAAGACCCTAATATTATAATGATCCTTCTCTCAGTCGCATTGCTCCATGCGTGCATTGTTATTGTAAAAATGCAACCGGGTTTTCGAATTTGATATGTAATAGTCTATATTACTGTTATAAAATATTAAAATAATGTTAATAGCAAACATAATTTTAACAATTGCATCAGTGCATTATTCGCATGGTTCGATTTTAGAAATGTAAACAAACAACAGTAAAACAGTAAATTAAACAGTGAACAGGTGGGCGTTTCTGACTTAATACCAACAAAAATCGTTCTATTTTAAGTAACAGGAACTCCACCTGACTCATTTTTCTTTCCACTGCGCAAGGCACAACTTAGCAAAATGGCGGATATCAGGAAAAGTCACAGTGCAAAGTGAATTTTATACTTGTAAAAGAATTTTACAATGGCAACTGTGTTACATTTTTCTGCAGCTGGCTAGCGATTAATTTTGGCCATATATTGGATACTGTTTCTTGGAATTTCACTTTCTGGGTAGATCTAGTTGTTGCGGACATTGCACCAACGATATTTTAATTATTTTTATAATTTTTTTCATTACCACTGACTTGAGTAGGATTCTACCACCGCCCAGCCCAGTTTGTTTTGCATGACAAAAACAATTTTCTGTTTACTCTTACAGTTGATAGATCTAGTATTTATATCGAAGGATCTAAATTATAAATCTATTCATATTAGATTCTTGATCTTAAGTCTAGATTACTAGATATGTAAGCAAGTTCTCCAGATTTAGATTTGTTGGAGCAATTTAATAATTTGGTGGACTCTCGGATACTTTGGCAAAATTGACTTTGGTAACTTGGTAAGTATTACTAGATCTAGATCTAGATCTATTAAGTATTTGCCTAATTCATTAGTTATAGTTAGGCCTATATTATTGTAGTTTATAGTATTATAATTATAGGATCTAGTAAATAGGCCTACTATTTACTAAATAGGTCTAGGCCTAACACTGCCTAACTGAATAACATATTTGGGTAATCTATCGTTTTGGGTACGTAAAATCGCCCGCGATTTGTAATGTGAAAAACAGGTGACTCCTTAAATTTTAATAATTATTTCACATTTTGAGGAGGATTTATGTTTTAAAAAATTCAAAAATGTTTCCTTGATTCATTTATGTACCTGTTTTTAAACAATTGAATTAAAACGTTTCCGTAATAAATGAAGACTAGCGATGTTTCCAACAGATGCAATCATGCACATTTACTATAGCAGCCATCTTGTCTGTTTTATTTTTATAAGCTTTTAGCGCCAGATTCAGGGGGAAGTCACTCTATTTTACAAATGGCTGCTGTTTATATAGCAAATCTTGCTCTCAGACACTGCTGTTTAAAGTTAATTTCTGGCCTATATCGATATATTTAGCCATCGATTTAGGTTTATTATTCATTTATCTATAATATTTGACACAAAAGTATGACAATATACTTCTATTAAAGCCTTGACAATGAGGTAGCGTTTTCGTACATAAATAGCCGCGGGCGATTTTACGTACCCAAAACGATAGATTACCCATATTTGTAGTGTAGCCCTTCTTATTAAAGTTCATATGACTAGGCCTATACAGTATACCAATTATTTATAGAGCGTGAAGTTAAATACTTTGGTTCATTGATAAGTATTATGTTGTTTGATCTTGCATTCCAAGCAAGAAAAATATGCAATGAATAAGATGTTCATCAGACAACTATGGGAAATATGTTTGTAATAGCTCCAGTCTAGCATCTTTACTAACTTACTCTTGTCAACAGACAAGTGCACTTTCACATGCTGCTTGATTTTTGTGTATGCACATTGGTATTTCTTTATATGAATGTTGCTGGTTTGCCCTCATATTTCTTTTTCATTTTTACAGGTGTGACTGTTAGACATCTGGCCATAACTTCCTTAGACAGCGATTGCCACATTGGCACCCTTGCTCGGACCTCAGACTGAAAAATGTCTTTCCTTAGTAGTTTTAAAAAGCTTTTTCGGTTTGGAGCTGATGATGCCCATGACAAGAAGAAAGGCCAGTGGAATGTTAACATAAAAAAAGATACTGACCCAACACAGTTCTGGGAAATAACCGGAGAGATTGGAGAAGGTGCTTTTGGAGCAGTCTATAAGGTGACAATGTAGAGAAATAATATATGACAATATGTTTTAATGAAATAATCTATGTTTATTATATCAGCCTATCATTACTAAGGAGTCCTTGTGCAAAACAATTTATTTGTGTAAGGGGATTTTGATTAGTGCGTAAAGCTTAAAATTATTCTATTTTAATTGTTAATGCTTTTAACTATTTAAAACATTTAGGCACGCAACAAAGAGACAAATCAATTTGCTGCGCTCAAACAAGTGGAGATAAAGAATGAAGAGGACTTGGAAGATTTCTCTGTAGAGATAAATATCCTAGCAGAGTGTGCCCACAAAAATATTGTAGGGCTGCATGAAGCTTTTTTCTTTGAAAATAAACTATGGGTGAGTTTATGTCCTCTGGTTATTTTCTGGTTATTATTGGATGGATTTTGAGTTCAAGATCTTTTTTTTTAAAAGTTTGCTTTTGTTATTTTTAAATGTTAGTGAATTAAAATTAGTACATTTTTTTCAATCAGTTTTTAAAATGTTTTTTTTTCCAGATGTTTATAGAATACTGTGGTGGGGGTGCACTAGATTCTATTATGGTGGATCTAGAAAAGCCTTTATCTGAACCCATGATCCGTTATGTAGCCCATGAGATGTGTGTTGCACTAGCTTTTCTTCATGAACACAGGGTAATCCACAGAGACATCAAAGCAGGCAATGTACTGCTCACATCAGAAGGAGAGGTGAAATTAGGTTGGTTTTTACTTGCACATTTCAGTTTTACAAAATTCAAGTGTTAAGTTTTAGTGCTAAATGGTAGTTTTTTTTGTTAGCTTTTAAATTTCATTGATCCGTAACAGGCTTAAAAACATTAAATTATTTACAAATTTAAGTTTTATTGGTTGTTTTATTCCCTTTCCAAATTTACTTTTTGTTTGTTTCAGCTGATTTTGGTGTATCTGCTAAGAACACAAAAACTGCCCAAAGACGTGACACATTTATCGGGACCCCTTATTGGTAAGCCACTTAGTTGTTTAATGTCATTTTTGACAAACTATTTAACAAAGGATATGTAGTTGTTGATTGTGGCGAGCTTTATTATTTATAAATGCAGCTATTCCACTTCCTAAATGCATCTAAATTAACATGCTTTGGCAGCAATTATTGTTGCTATTAAAATTGTTTACATTTTTATGGTTGTATAATTTTCTTGAATGGAATTATTATCATATTTAGGATGGCCCCAGAAGTAATAATGTGTGAAACATTAAAGGATGTGCCTTATGATTACAAAGCTGACATTTGGTCTTTAGGTAAAGATCTTTCCATTCGAATAATGTCAACTTATTCTTCACTTTTAATGTTAACTTCTTCACACTTAATAATATTCTGGGAATAACGTTCATATATCCACCATCTCTGTAACTAAAGTGTAACATTCATATGTACCCACAATATGGTGTACACAACATTCTCATAATGACATGGTGTACACAACATTCTCACAATGACATGGTGTACACAACATTCTCACAATGACATGGTGTACACAACATTCTCACAATGACATGGTGTACACAACATTCTCACAATGACATGGTGTGCACAACATTCTCACAATGACATGGTGTGCACAACATTCTCACAATGACATGGTGTACACAACATTCTCACAATGACATGGTGTACACAACATTCTCACAATGACATGGTGTACACAACATTCCCACAATGACATGGTGTACACAACATTCTCACAATGACATGGTGTACACACCATTCTCACAATGACATGGTGTACACAACATTCTCACAATGACATGGTGTACACAACATTCCCACAATGACATGGTGTACACAACATTCTCACAATGACATGGTGTACACACCATTCTCACAATGACATGGTGTACACAACATTCTCACAATGACATGGTGTACACAACATTCTCACAATGACATGGTGTACACAACATTCTCACAATGACATGGTGTACACAACATTCTCACAATGACATGGTGTACACAACATTCTCACAATGACATGGTGTACACAACATTCTCACAATGACATGGTGTACACAACATTCTCACAATGACATGGTGTACACAACATTCCCACAATGACATGGTGTACACAACATTCCCACAATGACATGGTGTACACAACATTCTCACAATGACATGGTGTACACAACATTCTCACAATGACATGGTGTACACAACATTCTCACAATGACATGGTGTACACAACATTCTCACAATGACATGGTGTACACAACATTCTCACAATGACATGGTGTACACAACATTCTCACAATGACATGTTTTAATGTCAACCATATATATGAAACATTCCCCAGGTATAACTATGATAGAGTTTGCCCAGATAGAGCCCCCAAACAAAGACATGCATCCCATGAGAGTGTTAATTAAAATACAGAAATCAGATCCCCCAGGGTTTGATAAACCATCCAAGTGGTACGTTTCAATGTCTCTTCAGCTTATTGTCTCATGTTATTGTGATCAACTACAAAGTTCTTATAAAAAGTGTTTAGAACGTCAACTGTTCTGTGAATGTCAACTGTTCTGTGAATGTCAACTGTTCTGTGAATGTCAGCTGTTCTGTGAATGTCAGCTGTTTTGTGAATGTCAAATTCAAATATTCTATTAATGTTAAATGTTCTATGAATGTTAAATGTTCTATGAATATCAAATGTTCTATGAATGTCAAATATTCTATGAATGTCAAATGTTCTATGAATGTCAAATGTTCTATGAATGTCAAATGTTCTATGAATGTCAAATGTTCTATGAATATCAAATGTTCTATGAATGTCAAATGTTCTACAAATGTCAAATTTTCTACAAATGTTCTATGAATGTCAAATGTTCTATGAATGTCAAATGTTCTATGAATGTCAAATGTTCTATGAATGTCAAATGTTCTATGAATGTCAAATGTTCTATGAATGTCAAATGTTCTATGAATGTCAAATGTTCTACAAATGTCAAATGTTCTATGAATGTCAAATGTTCTATGAATGTCAAATGTTCTATGAATGTCAACTGTTCTACAAATGTTAAATGTTCTATGAATGTCAAATGTTCTACAAATGTCAAATGTTCTGTGAATGTCAAATGTTCTACAAATGTTAAAATGTTCTATGAATATCATTTTGAGTAATGCCATTGATGAGGAGGTGCAGACTTACGCTAGTGTATGCAAACCTTTCAGGTCAAGTAGCTTTAAAGACTTTGTCAACAAGTGCCTGATCAAAAACCCAGAACTGAGAGCTACTGCCCACGAACTTTTGGAGGTAACTCTACCTGTCCTTGTTATAGTTATTTTTTGGAGGTAACTCTACCTGTCCTTGTTATAGTTATTTTTTGGAGGTAACTCTACCTGTCCTTGTTATAGTTATTTTTTGGAGGTAACTCTACCTGTCCTTGTTATAGTTATTTTTTGGAGGTAACTCTACCTGTCCTTGTTCTAGTTATTTTTTGGAGGTAACTCTACCTGTCCTTGTTCTAGTTATTTTTTGGAGGTAACTCTACCTGTCCTTGTTCCAGTTATTTTTTGGAGGTAACTCTACCTGCCCTTGTTCTAGTTTTTATTTTGTTATTTTTTAAATAGTAAAAATACAAATGCAGGCAATAATTATATACTATTTTAAACTTCACTATTTCAGCAGTAAATGACAATGTTGTGTAATTTTACTTTTTTTTTTCTGGTGTTTCTTGTTTCTTTTAACATTAGCATAAAATGAACTTGAACTAGTTATGCGCACCCATTGTGTCTATCAACCTTACCTCTCTTTGTCCCCAGCACCCATTTATAAAGGACTACACCAACAAAACAGCCATCTTGGATCTTATCTATGAGGCCAAAGCTGAGGTTGTTGAAGTTGTGGAGGACCTTACAGAAGATGAGGACATTCTGGCTATAAAGGTCAGAGTGTACACTGGCTGTAATCATTAAGTCTGCCCTGTAGTGGGCCTACAGCTAGATGAAGGATTAACTCAGTCATTTAGTTGATGTCTGTAATCATTTAGTCTGCTCTGTAGTGGGCCTACAGCTAGATGAAGGGTGAACTCAGTCATTTAGTTGCTGACTGTAATCATTTAGTCTGCTCTGTAGTGGGCCTACAGCTAGATGAAGGGTGAACTCAGTCATTTAGTTGCTGACTGTAATCATTAAGTCTGCCCTGTAGTGGGCCTACACAGCTAGATGAAGGGTGAACTCAGTCATTTAGTTGATGTCTGTAATCATTAAGTCTGCCCTGTAGTGGGCCTACAGCTAGATGAAGGGTGAACTCAGTCATTTAGTTGCTGACTGTAATCTTAACCCTTGAAGCCCTGATCTTGTTTATGAATAAATATTTCGGTGAAATTGAATATATGTGTAGAAGATTTATGATTGATATGAATATGCACCTAGCTTTAAATGAGCCCCATAAAAAAGATGATATTGCAGTAGGCATCTAGCTGCATCAAGTCACTTGATCACTACAGCCTGTGTGGTGTGTCGTCACCTTTAGATTAGAAATATTTCCCCTTTAATTGAAAACTGTCCTATTCAATCTTGATGTTGTGGTAATAAAAGTCTCTAAATCTCTTTAAATTTAAATCCCTGGCATTCCTAAGCAGGACCAAACCATGTTAGTGATCCCCACAAGAATCCCAAGGATCAGTTGATTTTATCATTTGCAAATAGGCTCAACTTCTCTTGTTTTAAATAAACATTTAGTTGGTACTGATATAGTCTGATTGATCACTATTTTTTACCTCGAGAGTTTATGCTTGTATTCCAGAGAAATATGAGTGCAGACTCCCAGTCAATAGACCTGGACAGCATTTCACTTGCTAGTGATGAGAAAGATAAGGTAAGCTTGGTATGGTGTGTGGTTTATGAATGTTGTAAGAAGCACGCTGCCAGCATTAAGTAACCTCTGCTCTAATCCCCAGGAACATGGTGATGAACATCACAAAAGTCTGAAGCCAGTCTCTGTGGTGGTCTCAAGTGCTGACAAATCACCTTCAGTAAAACGCAAGCCTGCCCCATCTCCTCCACACGCTGAGGTCCCCAAACCCTCACTACCTGTTGTAACAGAAGTCCCCGCCCCCCAGCCTCCTTCACCTGCAGTAGCAGAAGTCCCCGCCCCCCAGCCTCCTGTACCTGTCATCATTGAAGTCCCCGCCCCCCAACCAACTGTAACAGAAGTGAGCCAACAGTCTGATGTAGAGAAACCGTCATCATCAGATGAAGGCATTGGGGATGAGAAGTCTAGCTCTGAAGGCTCTGATATCACTGAGGTCAGTAGCAGGATCTTTGCTGCTGTTTCTACACTTGTCACGTCTGTTTTTATCACATTTGTAGTCATTTGATGACATTGTTTTGACGTCTAATGACATTGTGCCATCTTGGATAACATTCTTGTGCAGAGCCGGTGTTAGGAATACACGGGGCCTAGTGCCAACCATCCGCACGGGGCCTACTTTTTTCCATTATATAAATAGCCTATATATATCTATATCTATCTATATATATAAAAAGCAATGTATGTGTGTGTGTGTGTCTGTGTGTCCTTTATGCATTACTACACCTCTCAACACATCGCCGTGAAACTTTGGGAAGTTGTTGAGAATATTCCTGGGGAGGTTTCTGCGAAAAAAAAAATTTCAAATTCGCAGGGGTGGCGCCCCGGCAGGGCGCAATTTGTTTTTCTCTATATACGGTATATAAAAATAAAAGTCTATCTATATACGGTATATAAAAATAAAAGTCTATTTTGATTTCACACTGTTCATCCGATAGGCATGAAACTTTGGGGAGTTGATTAGAACACTCTAGGGAAGGGTTCTGTACAAAAAACATTTTTAATTTCGCAAGGGCGGCGCCACGGGAGGATGCGATTTTTCTCTATATACGGTATATACCTGCTCAGGTCGGGGGCTAATTCGAGTCCACCCATCTCCAGTCACCTCAGGTCAAATGCGAGGCGACCGTACCCTTCATACAGGGAGGTGTGTGACACTATAATTTACGGCCTGTCGCAGTTTATGTGGGTGATAACTCACTAGCATCAACCGGGGCCTCAGTTATAACAATCAACAACGTCGGCATTCGAATATGTCGTTTTTCCCAAGTGAATTCAGCAAAAAAATTTTAAGTTTCCAAACTAATTCAGATAACAGTGAAGGTGCTGAAGCGCGGGGCCACTTCAGGCGCGGGGCCTGGGGCGTCCGCCCCGTTCGCCACCCCCAAACGCCGGCTCTGTTCTTGTGTCATCTCTGATGACATTGTAACATCTAGTAATATTATTGTGATGTGACATCTTAATTGACATAGTTTTGACCAATCTAATGTCATAGTTGTGACATCTCTAATGTCATAGTTGTGACATCTCTAATGTCATAGTTGAGACATCTCTAATGTCATAGTTGTGACATCTCTAATGTCATAGTTGTGACATCTCTAATGTCATAGTTATAACATCGCTAATGACACTGACTAGTCTCTACATTGCCCAATGTTGCAGGATGTGAAGTCAGCTCCTACAGAAGACTCAAGCAGCAAGAGTGAGGTGATGGTGTCAGAGATTGTCACTGACATCATTGACGACGTCCTCAACTCCACCACATCAGAGCCCTCTGTGGCCAGTGTGGTGTTTGACACCTTCAAAGATTTTGTTTCACCTGAGGGCAGCGCTGAGGAAACAGGCCAGGCTGACAGACCAGAGGACACCATAGTGCTGCCTGCTCAGGGCACAGAGAAGCCAGACCTACCTGGAGAGATTACATCACCTAAAGTGGAAAAAACAGAATCACCTGCAGAAGTTACACCGCCTAAAGTGGAAAAAACAGAATTACCTGCAGAAGTTTGTGTTGAAGAAACTGTTGTTAGCTTACCTGATTCTGATGCTGGCATAATTGCTGCCAATGGCTATGTGGTCTGTCCTGAAGAGATTCCAGAGCCAGCAGTGGCTGAGAAGAAAGATGGAACAAGCAGTGAATCTGAGGAGAGCAGGCCCCAACACAAGCAGTCCACTCTGATAGTGCCAGCCCCGGCTGCCGTGCCACAGACTGACCTGGATACTTTTGAGACCAAGATGATTGACGAGGTGTCTGTGGACGACGAGTCGGACAAGAGGTCAGACTCTGGCAGCATCAACACAGTGGACAGCGACATGCAGGACCCAGACAAAAATGGAGAGGGTGCACCCGTCCAGAGACGACAGAAGAAAGGACAAATCCGCACACGCAATGTGAGTACGCTATACGCACATTAAAAAACTCTTTGTACATGTATCAGATGATTAATTCTGTCCACCCACTACACTCTCCTCCTGTCCACCCACTCTCCATCTTTCCACCCACTCTCCATCTGTCCACCCACTCTCTCCACCTGTCCACCCACTCTCCATCTGTCCACCCACTCTCTCCACCTGTCCACCCACTCTCCATCTGTCCACCCCCTCTCTCCATCTGTCCACCCAATCTCTCCATCTGTCTACCCACTCTCTCCATCTGTCCACCCACTCTCTCCATCTGTCCACCCACTCTCTCATCTGTCCACCCACTCTCTCCATCTGTCCACCCACTCTCCATCTGTCCACCCACTCTCTCCATCTGTCCACCCACTCTCTCCATCTGTCCACCCACTCTCTCCATCTGTCCACCCTCTCTCTCCATCTGTCCACCCACTCTCTCCATCTGTCCACCCACTCTCTCCATCTGTCCATCCACTCTCCTCCTGTCCACCCACTCTCTCCATCTGTCCACCCACTCTCTCCATCTGTCCACCCACTCTCTCCATCTGTCTACCCACTCTCTCCATCTGTCCACCCACTCTCTCCATCTGTCCACCCACTCTCTCCATCTGTCCACCGACTCTCTCCACCTGTCCACCCACTCTCTCCATCTGTCCACCCACTCTCTCCATCTGTCCACCCACTCTCTCCATCTGTCCACCCACTCTCTCCATCTGTCCACCCACTCTCTCCATCTGTCCACCCACTCTCTCCATCTGTCCACCCACTCTCTCCATCTGTCCACCCACTCTCTCCATCTGTCCACCCACTCTCTCCATCTGTCCACCCACTCTCTCCATCTGTCTACCCACTCTCTCCATCTGTCCACCCACTCTCTCCATCTGTCTACCCACTCTCTCCATCTGTCCACCCACTCTCTCCATCTGTCCACCCACTCTCTCCATCTGTCCACCCACTCTCTCCATCTGTCCACCCACTCTCTCCATCTGTCCATCCACTCTCTCCATCTGTCCACCCACTCTCTCCATCTGTCCACCCACTCTCTCCTATAGTCCACCAAACATGTAACCAAACATAGGTTCAACCCTTTATAAATGTGTATCACCCAGATCCTGAAAAAGTGAACCTGTTGACATTTACTTGATTAGAACTCTCAGTGTTTTATTTCCTCCACTCTTGTAGGAGAGCAAGAGCCATTATAGGACAATAGCAAAGACTAGAACCTACATGAAAGATGGTCAGGTGATTACATCAACAACTACCAAAGTTATTGCCACAGGTGAAGAGAACAGGGTGAGAGAGGAACACTTACACAGGTCAGTTGAGTGCTTTGACTCATCCATTTCTCACCTCACTGCTGACCCAAAACTCTTGAGTTCCTGGGCTTGAGTCCACCCAGCTTTAATTGGTACCTGACTCACTTTAGGTAGTAAAATGGGCTGGTCATAGTGCTGACTACACTATCTCTTCATGTTCTCAAGTCATTGCCCCATAGACCCTAAGGTTGGAAAGGTCTTTTATACTTAGAGAGGGGGGGTGGGGATTTGCATGCGGCTCCTCACTTACTCATCCATTTATCACCTCCACATTGTAAAAAGTCAAATTTTGTAGACTGGGATGATGTGGATTATCGGATAGATCTTCGTATTGTTGGTAGCTAGCTTCACATCACCCCTCATTCATAGTATGCAATGTCTGCATGTACTTGATCGTAATGTCAGACTTGTTGGCCGCTTATAACCTTAGGTGCAGGTAACTTCTGTTCTGATTGTGTGTTTTCTCCTTCCTTTGACTTTGTTGAAAAGAAGCAAGTCAATCATCTTATTACAAATGCAGGATTATGGTCCATTACTTACTGCCGTAATATTTTAAGTAGGCCTATATCGGCTAGGTTTCTATGTGTTTGCATATTTGACGAAGGAACATAAAGAAAATATTGTACACTTGCACCTTCTTCAAATAGAATTTTTTCTTAGACCAGTACATCAAAATTAATAGATATTAATAATAATAGAATGAATAAAGTTAATGTAATAAATTCTTCATGCTAGGGGAGATAATTTAAAGGGAATTAACTCTGATACTAAATTTAGCTGTCTATGTTGATATTTATCTTAAATTATCCCCTATTTTCTTTATTTATTATTATTACTTTATATACCATTAGATGAACATTTAAGACTGCTATTTTTTAAATTATTATCTATATCCAAGTGGTTCATATTGGGGTGGTGGCAAGGGTGGACTAGCTGTATCCAAGTGGTTCATATTGGGGTTTTTCATAGTGCATCTTTAAAAACCCAAGCCTTTGGTCAGAATCCTATAATTCACAGGCCTATTTACAAAATTCAATACACAGTAATATCAAAACGACAAATCGGAAGGGGCAATGAACACATTAAAAAAAACAACCTCAAAGCAATAATTGCCAATAGCAGCACTGATCCTATCGGCCCATCGGGATTTTTTCGTTCTGGCCCTACATGATTTTCACGTTGTGAAAACTAGGTGTGGGGTGTGGTTTATGGTAGGGTGGGGTGTGGTTTACAGTAGGGTGGGGTGTGGGCCGGGTTGGTGTGGGGGTAGGTTTACTCTGTGTGGGGTGGGGTAATGGAAAGTGGTCTTTTTGGTGGTATATGAGTGATTGCATGTGTTCTTGGAGGTAAGTGGATATCGTATTTCTTGCGGGTTGGGGTATGGGGTGGTGTGGCTATGAAAAAGGGTATGCGGTAGGTTGGTTTGGGGTTGGAGTTACGTGAAAGGGGGGGGGGAGGTTGGTGTTTGTTTGTGTTTGCTTTTCTGTTTGTGGTTGTGTTTGCGTTTGTGTTAATGTTTACGTTTTTGTTTGCGTTTGTATTTGCTTTTGTGTTTTTGTTTTGGTTGTTTGTGTGGAATAGGGTTAAGTTTTCAGGCCTGGCCAGGACGGCTAGTATATATATACTAGCCGTCGGTACCCGGTACCCGTTATAAATAACATAGGCTACCAATACCTATTAGAAAAACCAAATCATGTAGGCCTACACATTAGTCAACACAACACTATACTAAATGAACACACTGATTAGGGGGTCATCCATAAATGACGTCACGCTTTTTTGATGACTTTTACCTCCCCCCCCCCCCTCCGTCACACGTCGTCACAAAAAGCCAGACCCCCCCCCCTAAAATGACGTCACACCTCAGCCTACAACCCCCCTCAAAATTGTAGTTGATTTTTTTTAACATGGATATTTTTCTAAAATCTTGTCTGAACTATGTCAAAATAGAGTATTTTAATCAATTCCTATTACAATTTATTAAAACAGTTTTCTAAAACGCGGAATAACGTCTAAAAATTCGTTTTCTGACGTTGCTTTTGTATAAAGCAAAAGTGTGACGTCGACCCATCTGAACCCCCCCCCCCCTCCCCCTCATCACACACCGTCACAAAATTACGGACCCCCCCCCTCCCCCCTACGAGTGTGACGTCATTTATGGACGACCCCTTAGGAGAATTAGATGATACCTTTAAAACCCCAGTAGTTCAATGGTGTTTCTGTTGTTTTTAAAAGTAATATGTATTACTTTAGACAGAGAAAATTTTATAAATGTCACAGAGTACGTCCGGATAAGTATATATATATATATATATATATATATATATATATATATATATATATATATAAATAAATATATAAATATATATATATATATATATATATATATATATATATATATATATATATATATATATATATATATATATATATATATATATATATATAAATATAAATATATAAATATAAATATATATATATATATATATATATATATATATATATATATATATATATATATATATATATATATATATATATATATATATATATATATATATATATATATATATATATATATATATATATATATATGTATATATAAATATAAATAAATATATATATATATATATATATATATATATATGTATATATATAAATATGTATATATATAAATATGTATATATATAAATATGTATATATATAAATATAAATATAAATATATATATATATATATATATATGTATGTATATATATATATATATATATATATATATATATATATATATATATATATATATATATACACGGGTAATATATACGGGTTGGTTATAGAATCAGATATGAACTTATTACAACTTGTGGTAGTATATAGACAGCAGATATAAAGTAAGAACTTAATAGTGAATGCGGCTTAGTACAAAGGGCAAATGCCAGCTACTGGAGCGCCTATATTAGCATTGTGATTACACTGCAAGCAAATATGAATGTTTTGAGAGTGTCTGCCCCACCCTTCCCTAGATGTCCCAAACAAGAAGCGTGTATTGATCTCTGCTTCTCTCCCCTGCTCACGTCTATTAGCACCATTGGGACAGCGCGCGGATTACTGAGTGACTCATCCAATCATTGAGGGGACGTTCTGTAGAGGGGATTTTGTTAACCCTACATCACCCAGCTGTAATACACATGTAGACTTGTGGATTTTGTTAACCCTACATCACCCAGCTGTAATACACATGTAGACTTGGGGATTTTGTTAACCCTACGTCACCCAGCTGTAATACACATGTAGACTTGGGGATTTTGTTAACCCTACGTCACCCAGCTGTAATACACATGTAGACTTGGGGATTTTGTTAACCCTACGTCACCCAGCTGTAATACACATGTAGACTTGTGGATTTTGTTAACCCTACGTCACCCAGCTGTAATACACATGTAGACTTGTGGATTTTGTTAACCCTACGTCACCCAAATGTAATACACATGTAGACTTGGGGATTTTGTTAACCCTACGTCACCCAGCTGTAATACACATGTAGACTTGTGGATTTTGTTAACCCTACGTCACCCAAATGTAATACACATGTAGACTTGTGAATTTTGTTAACCCCGTGAGTCCCTACATGTAGACTTGTGAATCAATCCAACCAAGTAAAGAAATCCCCTATCTCTAGTCTACGCTCTATTGAAGATCTGCACAGTGTACCTCTAAACTGAGGGGGGGGGGGCAAAGAGAAGGCCATGCAGCAGTTGTGGCCAGAGAGAAGGCCATACAACATAGTAGTGTGGCCAGAGAGAAGGCCATGCAACAGTTGTGGCCAGAGAGAAGGCCATGCAACAGTTGTGGCCAGAGAGAAGGCCATGCAACAGTTGTGGCCAGAGAGAAGACCATGCAACATAGTAGTGTGGCCAGAGAGAAGGCCATGCAACAGTTGTGGCCAGAGAGAAGGCCATGCAACAGTTGTGGCCAGAGAGAAGGCCATGCAACAGTTGTGGCCAGAGAGAAGACCATGCAACATAGTAGTGTGGCCAGAGAGAAGGCCATGCAACAGTTGTGGCCAGAGAGAAGGCCATGCAACAGTTGTGGCCAGAGAGAAGGCCATGCAACAGTTGTGGCCAGAGAGAAGACCATGCAACATAGTAGTGTGGCCAGAGAGAAGGCCATGCAACAGTTGTGGCCAGAGAGAAGGCCATGCAACAGTTGTGGCCAGAGAGAAGGCCATGCAACAGTTGTGGCCAGAGAGAAGGCCATACAACAGTTGTGGCCAGAGAGAAGGCCATGCAACAGTTGTGGCCAGAGAGAAGGCCATGCAACAGTTGTGGCCAGAGAGAAGGCCATGCAACAGTTGTGGCCAGAGATTGATGTGAACTGGCCCTCGGATGGACATTGCTTGACACTCCTCACAGACTCGCGGCGTTTTCTTGTATTGATTTTTAGGGGCGATGGCTCAAGTCAGCGCTTTAAATAGCCGCTCTCCGTGTGCGTGTGTTTGTGTGTGTGTCTGTATGTGTGAGCGCGCTGCTCACTGGGCAGTTGATGGAGATTCACGTTAGTGGTTAACTGGCTAAAATAGCCGCTCTCTGTGTGTGTTTACTGGACAGTTTGAGATTCACGTGTGTGATCTACTGTCTAAAATTGCCGCTCTGTGTGTGCTCACGTTGTAGCTGATGGAGATTCACGTTAACCAATGATCTACAGGGTTAAACTTTGACCTGCAGTCTCGTAGTTCCCCATTCATATTTCTGTCAAAGTGTGTAAGATCCTGTCAAGTTTTCTCTTGTGGAAATTCCCAGCAGGACAGGCTCAAGTGGAGCTTTGTGTGAGTCAGTCTTGAAACAATGACTTGATACAATGTAGGATGTGACTTTTCTTGTCTAGCTTTCTCACACCACCATCTTCCTATGGATCTATTGCCGTCTGTACATTCAATGGATCAACTGCCTGAATACACTGTGTACTTGTATATGTGTACATCCAATGGATCAACTGCCTGAATACACTGTGTACGTGTCCGTCTTTACATTCAATGGATCAACTGCCTGAATACACTGGTGTACATCCAATGGATCAACTGCCTGAATACATTGTTTACTTGTATATGTGTACATCCAATGGATCAACTGCCTGAATACACTGTGTACTTGTCCGTCTGTACATCCAATGGATCCACTGCCTGAATACACTGTGTACGTGTCCGTCTTTACATTCAATGGATCCACTGCCTGAATACACTGGTGTACATCCAATGGATCAACTGCCTGAATACATTGTTTACTTGTATATGTGTACATCCAATGGATCAACTGCCTGAATACACTGTGTACTTGTCCGTCTGTACATCCAATGGATCCACTGCCTGAATACACTGTGTACTTGTATATGTGTACATCCAATGGATCAACTGCCTGAATACACTGTGTACTTGTATATGTGTACATCCAATAAATCAACTGCCTGAATACACTGTGTACTTTGTGAACGGCCATGATTTAGCTGTATAGTGTGAGTATAAGATGTGTGAACAGGACATGTTCGATGGCACGTGCTGGGAGAGTGCCAGGTCTAGTTGGATCTACATGGAGATGGAGCCCAAGCCTCACAGGTCGGCCTGTTTACAGCAAGCAGACGTCAGTGGCCTCACGGAGGAGATGTCATTAGATGTCAACTTGGATGACATCTGGCCAGCAGAAGAGGACAGAACTCTGGAGTTTGTGGAGGGCCAGACAGCTGCTGACACAGAGGAGGACGGGGACTATGAGGAGATCTGTGAGGACCCTTGTTATGTCGCCCCCCATAGGTTGGCCCTGAAGACAGAGACGTGTGCACCAGCCAGAAGGTCGGTATCACTAGACAGCTACCCCCTGCCCAAGAAGTGTTTGCTCAAGCAGTCTGAAAGCTTCCCTCACAGGTCAAGGCCACTGACCTCACCTGGCATTCACACATCACTGGACTCACCCGACACCTACCCGTCACGGCCACTGACCTCACCCGACCCCCTCAGGTCAAGGCCGGCCCCCGACCCGCTGAGGCCACTGGTGCCGACGGACTCCGTCATGTCTGTGTGTACCACGGTGTCGGCCGCCACCAGCTGTGGGAGCCTGTACCGTATCCCGGCCAAAGTCCGCAAGCTTTCATCCAACTCGACCTGGTCGGCCATCAGCAGCAAGCACTTGTTCCCCACAGCCCACCCAGCCCAGGCGCTCAAAGCCCCCAGCTCCCTCCTGCCCAAACTACTGCGGGGCGTCTTCTATTTCCTCTGGTGTGAGAACCCAGACAGGGACCCTTTCAACACCTTCTCCGTGTCGGAGACGGATCTGACGGCCGCCATCTCACACCTGGAGCAGCAGCTGAGCACCAGGATCCGTCATCAGGACGAGAGGAGCCGGGCCAGCTTGTTCTCCACCTTTATTAACTCACACAACCCAGAGCCCGGCTCCCAGAGTAAGGAGCCGGGCTCCGTCAGCTCTCAGAGCAAGGAGCCCGTCCCAGAGAGTGACGATGACGTCAGTGTGGGGCCAGCTCACAGTCTGCCCTTTAGGCTGCAGTTTATCATGGAGAGTTACTGTAACATCTACATGCTAAGGTAGTGTTGAGAGTTACTGTAACATCTACATGCTAAGGTAGTGTTGAGAGTTACTGTAACATCTACATGCTAAGGTAGTGTTGAGAGTTACTGTAACATCTACATGCTAAGGTAGTGTTGAGAGTTACTGTAACATCTACATGCTAAGGTAGTTTTGAGAGTTACTGTAACATCTACATGCTAAGGTAGTGTTGAGAGTTACTGTAACATCTACATGCTAAGGTACCGTTGAGACATGAGTTTCTTGAACTTTGCTTCTTAGACCGTGTATTTGCTGGGGTTTAATGGCCGCCACGATACGATTATGAGCTGGGTTATTTATAGGCCTCTCACTCCGGGTAAAGTAAAATTACCACGCTCCATATTTATAAGCCTCTCACTCCGGGTAAAGTAAAATTACCACGCTCCATATTTATAGGCCTCTCACTCCGGGTAAAGTAAAATTACCACGCTCCATATTTATAGGCCTCTCACTCCGGGTAAAGTAAAATTACCACGCTCCATATTTATAGGCCTCTCACTCCGGGTAAAGTAAAATTACCACGCTCCATATTTATAGGCCTCTCACTCCGGGTAAAGTAAAATTACCACGCTCCATATTTATAGGCCTCTCTCTCTGGGTCAAGTAAAAACACCACGCTCCATATTTATAGGCCCTCTCTCTATGTCAAGTAAAAACACCACGCTCCATATTTATAGGCCTCTCTCTCTGGGTCAAGTAAAAACACCACGCTCCATATTTATAGGCCCTCTCTCTGTGTCAAGTAAAAACACCACGCTCCATACGTGGTCTGTATCGTGTATATCGCTTAGTATTTGACGCCACTGATGGCCATAGTTAGCAAGATATTTTTAAACAACAGCGTGTGTGAAAAGATTGATGCGCTGAAAAGGTCAACTTTGCCGACAATCGATATTTTTGTTGCTGAAATAATTTTTTGGGTAGCGGCGGCCTTGTATGTGTGGACAAAATAAGTGTTGTGTTAGTACACACTTAATACACCAGCTGTTTTACACTTCAGCACACCAACAACAGTGCTACATGGGTGACACACATCCACCACCAGTGTTAGACATAGTGACACCCCACCACCACCCCAGTGTTAGTCATAGTGACACCCCACCACCCCAGTGTTAGACATAGTGACACCCCACCACCCCAGTGTTAGATATAGTGACACCCCCCCAACCCAGTGTTAGACATAGTGACACCCCACCACCCTAGTGTTAGACATAGTGACACCCCACCACCCTAGTGTTATACATAATGACACCCCACCACCCCAGTGTTAGACATAGTGACACCCCACCACCACCAGTGTTAGACATAGTGACACCCCACCACCCCAGTGTAAGACATAGTGACACCCCACCACCCCAGTGTTAGATATAGTGACACCCCCCACCCCAGTGTTAGACATAGTGACACCCCACCACCCTAGTGTTAGACATAGTGACACCCCACCACCCTAGTGTTATACATAATGACACCCCACCACCCCAGTGTTAGACATAGTGACACCCCCCACCCCAGTGTTAGACATAGTGACACCCCACCACCCCATTGTTAGACATAGTGACACCTCACAACCCCAGTGTTATACATAATGACACCCCACCACCCCAGTGTTAGACATAGTGACACCCCACCACCCCAGTGTTAGACATAGTGACACCCCACCACCCCAGTGTTAGACATAGTGACACCCCACCACCCCAGTGTTAGACATAGTGACACCCCACCACCCCAGTGTTAGACATAGTGACACCTCACAACCCCAGTGTTATACTTAATGACACCCCACCACCCCAGTGTTAGACATTGTGACACCCCACCACCCTAGTGTTAGACATAGTGACACCCCACCACCACCACCACCCCAGTGTTAGACATAGTGACACCCCACCACCCCAGTGTTAGACATTGTGACACCCCACCACCCCAGTGTTAGACATTGTGACACCCCACCACCCTAGTGTTAGACATAGTGACACCCCACCACCACCACCACCCCAGTGTTAGACATAGTGACACCCCACCACCCCAGTGTTAGACATAGTGACACCCCACCACCCCAGTGTTAGACATAGTGACACCCCCACCACCCCAGTGTTAGACATTGAATTGTGACACCTCACAACCCCAGTGTTAGACATAGTGACACCCCACCACCACCACCCCAGTGTTAGACATAGTGACACCCCCCACCCCAGTGTTAGACATAGTGACACCCCACCACCCCAGTGTTAGACATAGTGACACCCCACCACCACCACCCCAGTGTTAGACATAGTGACACCCCACCACCCCAGTGTTAGACATAGTGACACCCCCACCACCCCAGTGTTAGACATAGTGACACCCCACCACCACCACCCCAGTGTTAGACATAGTGACACCCCACCACCACCACCCCAGTGTTAGACATAGTGACACCCCACCACCACCACCCCAGTGTTAGACATAATGACACCCCACCACCACCAACACCACCAGTTAGTCACATGACACCCCGCCACCCCAGTGAAAGACATAGTGACACCCCATCACCCCAGTGAAAGACATAGTGACACCCCATCACCACCACCAGTTTAGTCAAATGGCACCCCGCCACCACCAACAGTGTTAGACATAGTGACACCCACCACCCCAGTGTTAGACATAATGACACCCCACAACACCACCAGTTAGTCACATGACACCCCGCCACCAGCAGAAAGATGTTAGAGCTGTGAGTGTTTGTGTTCCCCAGAAAACAAGACCTGCGTGAGTTGAAGCTGCTCCAGAAACAAGAGAACAAGCAGATCACTGACCTGTCCTACAAGAACCACCTGGCTCTGGAGGCCAAGGAGAAGAAGTTTGACACAGACAGTGCTGTAAGTTGCTCGGCTTTCTTCTAGCTTTGGTACTGCCTGCAGTCTCTAGTTTGATCTGAGGGCCCCTTTAAAGCTATTCTACATGGAGTCCCTGCTTATATACTGTTTTAACTTCACACTTGTTCCCCATAACTTGTCCTCTTTAGCTTATTAGAAGTTTGTCTGTTTGCTGTCTGACAGCCCTAGCAACTAAAGTTTGTCTGTTTGCTGTCTGACAGCCCTAGCAACTAAAGTTTGTCTGTTGGACAGCCCTAGCAACTAGAGTTTGTCTGTTGGACAGCCCTAGCAACTAAAGTTTGTCTGTTTGTCTGTTGGACAGCCCTAGCAACTAAAGTTTGTCTGTTGGACAGCCCTAGCAACTAAAGTTTGTTTGTCTGTCTGACAGCCCTAGCAACTAAAGTTTGTTTGTCTGTCTGACAGCCCTAGCAACTAAAGTTTGTCTGTTTGTCTGTCTAACAGAACCTGAAGAAAACCTTTGACCAGGATCTAGACATGTTGATCAAGCAGCAGAAACAGCTGATAGAGAAGGCGGAGTGGAACCAACAAAATGACATGAAGAATGCTGCTAAAAAACTCAAGGCAGAGCAGGTCTAGTAGCTCCAATTGCTCCTAACTGTTAACTTAGTCAGATGATTAACTTGGTCAGAGGATTGTTAACTTGGTCAGATGATTGTTAACTTGGTCAGATGATTGTTAACTTGGTCAGATGATTGTTAACTTGGTCAGATGATTGTTAACTTGGTCAGATGATTGTTAACTTGGTCAGATGATTGTTAACTTGGTCAGATGATTGTTAACTTGCTCAGATGATTGTTAACTTGGTCAGATGATTGTTAACTTGGTCAGATGTTTGTTAACTTGGTCAGATGATTGTTAACTTGGTCAGATGATTGTTAACTTGGTCAGATGATTAACTTGGTCAGATGATTGTTAACTTGGTCAGATGATTGTTAACTTGGTCAGATGATTGTTAACTTGGTCAGATGATTGTTAACTTGGTCAGATGATTGTTAACTTGGTCAGATGATTGTTAACTTAGTCAGATGATTGTTAACTTGGTCAGATGATTGTTAACTTGGTCAGATCATTGTTAACTTGGTAAGATGATTGTTAACTTGGTCAGATGATTGTTAACTTGGTCAGATGATTAACTTGGTCAGATGATTGTTAACTTGGTCAGATGATTGTTAACTTGGTCAGATGATTGTTAACTTGGTCAGATGATTGTTAACTTGGTCAGATGATTGTTAACTTGGTCAGATGATTGTTAACTTGGTCAGATGATTGTTAACTTGGTCAGATGATTGTTAACTTGGTCAGATGATTGTTAACTTGGTCAAACCTGTCATCAGATGGTTTATAACTGTCTGTTTTAGTAAGGTACATTAAGAGCTAAAGATGTTGAGTTTGTATAAAACTCCACTGATTTGTATAGAGCTAAAGATGTTGTATAAAACGCCACTGATTTGTACAGAGCTAAAGATGTATAAAACGCCACTGATTTGTACAGAGCTAAAGATGTTGTATAAAACCCCACTGATTTGTATACCTTGTCTAAAACAGGACAAAGAGCTGAAGATGTTCAGAGAGAAACAGAAGCAGGAGATGAAGCTGCTGAAGCAAGAGCTGGACATGTTGCCTCGGGACAACAAGAAGGAAACAGCTCAGAAGATGAGGGAGTCCAAACAGATTGAGATGGAGGAGAAGGTAGCTCTCTCACAGGGGTCAGGTCTGGCTCTCACACAGGGGTCAGGTCTGGCTCTCACACAGGGGTCTGGTCTGGGTCTCACACAGGGGTCTGGTCTGGCTCACACACGGGTCTGGCTCTCACACACGGGTCTGGCTCTCATACAGGGGTCTGGCTCTCACACAGGGGTCTGGCTCTCACACAGGGGTCTGGCTCTCACACAGGGGTCTGGCTCTCACACACGGGTCAGGTCTGGCTCTCACACAGGGGTCTGGCTCTCATACACGGGTCTGGTCTGGCTCTCATACACGGGTCAGGTCTGGCTCTCACACAGGGGTCAGGTCTGGCTCTCACACAGGGGTCAGGTCTGGCTCTCACACAGGGGTCTGGCTCTCACACAGGGGTCAGGTCTGGCTCTCACACACGGGTCTGGCTCTCACACAGGGGTCTGGCTCTCATACACGGGTCTGGTCTGGCTCTCATACACGGGTCAGGTCTGGCTCTCACACAGGGGTCAGGTCTGGCTCTCACACAGGGGTCAGGTCTGGCTCTCACACAGGGGTCAGGTCTGGCTCTCACACAGGGGTCTGGCTCTCATACACGGGTCTGGTCTGGCTCTCATACACGGGTCAGGTCTGGCTCTCACACAGGGGTCAGGTCTGGCTCTCACACAGGGGTCAGGTCTGGCTCTCACACAGGGGTCTGGCTCTCACACATGGGTCAGGTCTCGCTCTCACACAGGGGTCAGGTCTGGCTCTCGCACAGGGGTCAGGTCTGGCTCTCACACAGGGGTCTGGTCTGGCTCTCACACTTGTCAGGTCTGGCTCTCACACAGGGGTCAGGTCTGGCTCTCACACAGGGGTCAGGTCTGGCTCTCACACAGGGGTCAGGTCTGGCTCTCACACAGGGGTCAGGTCTGGCTCTCACACAGGGGTCAGGTCTGGCTCTCACACAGGGGTCAGGTCTGGCTCTCACAGGGGTCAGGTCTGGCTCACCCAGGGGCCTGTCTGGTTGCTATACACAGATAATGGTAGGGGTAGTTTTTAATAGTACTATACCTGTCCAAGCTGTGCTAAAGAATATTATTTTGTTTCAGGAGCGTTTGTTCATGGAAAATCAAAATGAGAGAATGGAAAAACACATGCGTCAACTGGCGGACCAACACAGGCAGAAGATAGCCATGTTAGAGAGCCAGTGTCTGCAGCAAAAACAGCAGCTCTATAGAAGTGAGTTTCCTTTTTCTCAACACTTTTCTTGAGTTTTTCATTGAAGAATGTCCTGAGATGAAGCACTTAAAATACACTACTTAGTCATAGGAACCCAAAAGGTTCTGACAAACAGTTTGCTGTTTCAGTCCTAGCACTCTGACAAACAGTTTGCTGTTTCAGTCCTAGCATTCTGACAAACAGTTTGCTGTTTCAGTCCTAGCACTCTGACAAGCAGTTTGCTGTTTCAGTCCTAGCACTCTGACAAACAGTTTGCTGTTTCAGTCCTAGCATTCTGACAAACAGTTTGCTGTTTCAGTCCTAGCATTCTGACAAACAGTTTGCTGTTTCAGTCCTAGCATTCTGACAAACAGTTTGCTGTTTCAGTCCTAGCATTCTGACAAACAGTTTGCTGTTTCAATCCTAGCACTCTGACAAACAGTTTGCTGTTTCAGTCCTAGCATTCTGACAAACAGTTTGCTGTCTCAGTCCTAGCATTCTGTCAGTTTGCTGTTTCAGTCCTAGCATTCTGTCAGTTTGCTGTTTCAGTCCTAGCATTCTGACAAACAGTTTGCTGTTTCAGTCCTAGCATTCTGACAAACAGTTTGCTGTTTCAATCCTAGCACTCTGACAAACAGTTTGCTGTTTCAGTTCTAGCATTCTGACAAACAGTTTGCTGTTTCAGTTCTAGCATTCTGACAAACAGTTTGCTGTTTCAGTTCTAGCATTCTGACAAACAGTTTGCTGTTTCAATCCTAGCATTCTGACAAACAGTTTGCTGTAACAATCGTAGCGTTGAGTCAGCTAAAATTGTAAAATGTGTGTGCAGGTCGTGAAGCCAACATTTGGGAGATGGAGAAAAGCCAGCTCCATGAGAGACATCAGCTGATGAAGACTCAGCTTAAGGACATGTTTTTTGTCAAACGTCACCAGATGCTCACCAGACATCAGAAGGTACGCACTTTTTTTTTTGTACGCATGGTGCTGTACACACCATTTTGTTTCTGTACACATGTTACTGTATGTGGTGGGGGGAATTTGCTTGCTTTTCTTATTATTCTATTATTACTTTCCTTATTAAATACGACGTTTTACCAGTCTCCACACATATAGTTTACTATTGTGCATTCAATGAAACTCGAAGATCAGCTTGATACACAACATTTAATTATTATACATCTAATGATTGAATATAATAGGATTCACGCTACAACACAATATACATTAGTTGCCTACCCTACAGGTTAATGTTCTCTACACTATTCTCACTACACTGTTTCCTAGCTCTACTCTTATCTACGTCCTTTCTCTACAACGTCTCAACCCTCGACTGTCCCCAACCCCTAACTGTTCTCACTTCTTTGTCATCTTCTCACCACCCAGCCTGGCTTCCATGTCCCCGACTTAACCCCTCCCGTACAATAGCGTGGCTTTCCTCACATTTACATTCGCGGTCAGTTGGGGTAGAACGCCGGTCACGGTCAGGCTACTGGTACTGTCTCCTATTCGGCCACGGTCAGTCCTGGTTCAGGTGAGAGGGGAAATAACTTGCTCGCATCAACAATGACTCAGCAACAACATCTCCCCTCTTCGCCCCTGCCATGACCCGTTTAGTCTCATCGCGTGTGTCGTCAAACCTACGCCTGCAATCTACGTTTAATCTATACCATCACACTGTACACACCATTTTGTTTTTGTAACCATGCAAGTGTTTTTGTGATATTGCTGTAGACACATTTGTGGCTGCTCTAAGCAGCATTAGAGTTGTAGTATCCTCTGTATTGTTGCCCTGTGTAGGAAATGGAAAACCTGAAGCGCTACAACCAAACCAAGGAGGATGAGATGATGAACAGGCATGCACTAGAGAGACGCAGGTTGCCCAAAATTCTCAAAAGTGAGGCCAAGACTCGGGCACAGATGTTCAAACAGAGTCTCAGGCTGAGCACCATAGGGACACCTGAGGATGACAAGGTCAAGATCAAACAGGTAACTTGGTTCTGACAGATATGGGCAGTTGGGGGGGGGGGGTTGTCCACTTGGCTGCTTGATGTTTGTGAGTGTCCAATAGTTGAAAGGTCACTCTAGTGTTGAGACTTTTGTACTAAATTGTTTGACAGTTTGAAGAAAGTGAGAAGAAAAGAATGAAGTCTGAGCAGATGAGGCAGGAAGAGAAACACAAGAGACAGCTCAAGGCACTGCAGGACAAGAATGATGCAGCGGTCAAAGAGTTGGAGCAGTTACAGGCAAGACCTAACCCATAGCCTAGTCAATGACCTGACATGTTGCCCTGATTGTGACATAGTCTTGACTTAATACTCAGCCTTGACCTTGCACATAACCTTGACCTGACACAGCCTTGACCTGACACATAGCCTTGACCTGACATATAACATTGACCTGACACATAACCTTGACCGGACACACATCCTTGACCTGACACATAGCCTTGACCTGACATATAACCTTGACCTGACACATAACCTCACCTGACACACAGCCTTGACCTGACACATAACCTTGACCTGACATACAACCTTTACCCGACACACAACCTTGACCTGACACATAACCTTGACCTGACACATAGCCTTTAATTTAAAAAAAAATCCCTCATGGCAACGTGCAGGATGAAAGTTTAAAAAAAATTATTCTTGTCATTGTTTCAACTTGTCTTTCAGGCTGAAAAACGTAAAATGTTGATGGAACAAGAGACCCAGAAGATCAAAGAATTAGATGACCAGTTTAATGCTGACATGACTCAGTGGAAAGCCATGCTCATCCCTCGCAAACAGGTCAGTTGAAAGAATGGCTGTTGAACCATATACTGACATATGTGCCCATGGTCGCCAGAGAATTTAGCGTGTATGCATCAGAAGCAGGAAATCATAAGTTTTATTTACGTTCTTGTTTTATCATTAGGTGAATGTTTGGTTTGTCAAGGGTTTGATGAATGTTTGGTTTGTTAAGGGTTTGATGAATGTTTTGTTTGTCAAGGGTTTGATGAATGTTTTGTTTGTCAAGGGTTTGATGAATGTTTTGTTTGTTAAGGGTTTGATGAATGTTTTGTTTGTGGTTTGATGAATGTTTGGTTTGTCAAGGGTTTGATGAATGTTTTGTTTGTCAAGGGTTTGATGAATGTTTTGTTTGTGGTTTGATGAATGTTTTGTTGGTCAAGGGTTTGATGAATGTTTTGTTTGTCAAGGGTTTGATGAATGTTTTGTTTGTCAAGGGTTTGATGAATGTTTTGTTTGTGGATTGATGAATGTTTTGTTTGTCAAGGGTTTGATGAATGTTTTGTTGGTAAGGGTTTGATGAATGTTTTGTTTGTCAAGGGTTTGATGAATGTTTGGTTTGTCAAGGGTTTGATGAATGTTTTGTTTGTCAAGGGTTTGATGAATGTTTGGTTTGTCAAGGGTTTGATGAATGTTTTGTTGGTAAGGGTTTGATGAATGTTTGGTTTGTCAAGGGTTTGATGAATGTTTTGTTTGATGAATGTTTTGTTTGATGAATGTTTTCTATCTCCAGGCTCTTGAAGAACAGTTCCAGCGAGAGACAGAAGAGCAGCAATCTTTCTACGCGGATGTAGTCTCAGGAGATGCTGGCATACCTTCATTGCCTAGCATTCGCTCCAACCCGTCAACCATTCGGAGTAAAGGTCGCGGGGAGGGGTCAAACTACTCGCGTCACTCAACAGTTATATAAGAGGAGCTTATTTTAATGTCTACTGTAAATAGATTGGAAATATTTGTACCGGCTTGTTCCATTCAGGGTTTGTTAGACATCTCTCGTTCCTGAACTATTTATTTCTATTGGGCTTACAATCAAGTGATAGCTGGCTGTGGGGCTTAGAGCATTGAAGGATAAGTGCCCTTATAAAGCTGGACCTGAGCATCTCCTTGTTGCACTTTGATAAGACCTATACATATTTCATAGCAAATTTACAAGTTTTCTTCTTGTATGTCAAGTTTTGTTCTACTTAATAGTTGACTAGAACACAGGTTTGACCTGTGGTAGGGCAAGTTGTCTCCCATTGTGTGCCCTGTGTGAGCTACCAAACCCCCACTGGTGTGTCAGCTCCATTTGGTAGGTCCAGGTCAATCACTTATATTGATGCATTTTAAATTTGATATTTCTCATTCAATCAACACTTTTAAAATGTGATTTTTTTTAACATGTCATGGTGTGATGTGTGACATCTGACACTGTCATGTTACTGACACTGTCATGTTGCTGACACTGTCATGTTACTGACACTGTCATGTTACTGACACTGTCATGTTGCTGAGAGTGTCAGGCTATGACAGTGGAGGTTGTCATATTTTATGGTTGATGTGGTATTGTGCTGTCTTGGTGTCATTTTTATTTATATACAATTCATTACACACATTGGCATTGTCAAACTCATTTCATTTTAAATAGTCTTTCATTTGATGCTGTTTTTGTCTGTAGATTTACTCCTCAAATGAGCATTTTTTACTATGTATTCTTTAAGAAATTCACTTAGTATTTTTAGAAAACCATTACACTAAAAGTTGGATCAGTTGTAGTCCTTGGCACCCTTTCTCAAGACTTTGTGCACTGTATTATAAGTGTCTTGGTTGTTACTGCAGTGTCCCACACTATTAGTGAGAGGCCCACACAGTGTCCCACACACCATTAATGATGAGAGGCCCACACAGTGTCCCACACACCATTAATGATGAGAGGCCCACACAGTGTCCCACACCATTAATGATGAGAGGTCCACACACCATTAATGATGAGAGGCTCACACAGTGTCCCACACACCAGTAATGATGAGTGACCCACACAGTGGCACTCACACCAGTAATGATGAGTGGCCCACACAGTGGCACTCACACCAGTAATGATGAGTGGCCCACACAGTGTCACTTACACCATTAATGATGTGAGGCCCACACACCAGTAATGATGAGAGGCCCACACAGTCTCCCACACACCAGTAATGATGAGAGTTGGGTGTCCCCTAGTTTTGACTCCCCCCAGACCAGTGGTTGCTTTAGCTATGATAGTAGTGTAGTGCACATCTTGCCAAAGGTTTGGATGAGTGGATAGCAGTTTGTTTTAGTTGCTGCCATATACAGCTCTACATACCATATATATGTAACCATGTGTCTTTAGCTTTGATTTACTCTAGCTTTTTGTGTAAGTTGTGTCTGGTGAGGTGAAGGTCATGTGTACATATGATAATGATATTACCAGTGATGAAGCATCATCAAGACATTCCCATTCTAGCTGTGTGTCAGGGTAGTGTGTGTGTCCCATTTGTTCTCTACTGTGCCAAGAGAAGTTAATGCCCTAGCAAGAATCAAATTTTGTGTTTTTTTATCTGACTGTACACGTTGATTAATACGGCTTCCAGGATATTTTTACATCATTCATTATTTGTCTGAATTTATTGATGACTTGTATTTTGATACCCAATGTTTCATTTTAAAGACTAGTTCTAATGACACTGGCAACTGAATTAGACTAGTTCTAATGACACTGACAACTGAATTAGACTAGTTCTAATGACACTGACATTAGAGTGAAAACAGTCTGATGTTTGTAGACATGTAGCTACAGTCAGGTGTGCAGCTTTCCATTACCTGCTCCATGTCTTACAGTCACAGCTGTCTGACCAGCTGGCTGACCATAGCTGTCAGGCCCAAATTCTGGACCAGAACAGCTGGCTGACCAAAGCTGACAGAGGCCCAAATTCTGGACCAGACCAGCTGGCTGACCAAAGCTGACAGAGGCCCAAATTCTGGACCAGACCAGCTGGCTGACCAAAGCTGACAGAGGCCCAAATTCTGGACCAGACCAGCTGGCTGACCAAAGCTGACAGAGGCCCAAATTCTGGACCAGACCAGCTGGCTGACCAAAGCTGACAGAGGCCCAAATTCTGGACCAGACCAGCTGGCTGACCAAAGCTGACAGAGGCCCAAATTCTGGACCAGACCAGCTGGCTGACCAAAGCTGTCTGACCAGCTGGCTGACCAAAGCTGACAGAGGCCCAAATTCTGGACCAGACCAGCTGGCTGACCAAAGCTGTCTGACCAGCTGGCTGACCAAAGCTGACAGAGGCCCAAATTCTGGACCAGACCAGCTGGCTGACCAAAGCTGTCTGACCAGCTGGCTGACCAAAGCTGACAAGAGGCCCAAATTCTGGACCAGACCAGCTGGCTGACCAAAGCTGACAGAGGCCCAAATTCTGGACCAGACCAGCTGGCTGACCAAAGCTGACAGAGGCCCATCCTTTGCGAGTTGTCCGAATCAAAAGTTTGGGGAAATTTGATAAAATAAAACATACTAGATCTGCTTATTATAAAAGATGTTAAAATGGTTCACTTACTCAGTATTATTTGTGCAACACTACATTGAATTAAAATGCTAGTGTACCTTTTTTTTTCCTGAAATATAACTACGTTTCTGCTGGGATGAATTCTGGGATTTATGTCAATTTTTTTGTCCTAACATGAAAAAGGAAACATGTTTTCTGTCAAAATAAACCATGTAATTTTTGTTGTTGTAATGTATTGAGTCAGCATCATGTTTGAATGACAGGTGTCTGGACCACAGTCATAATACACAAGGCACATTTGGCTAGCACATGCTGCTAAATCTGGCCACACACTTGCTTTCTTCTCACACAAACTGAACTTTTGGAATTGATACAATTCTGGAGTTGTTTTAGACATGTACAATTATTATAAAACTTTTCACTTCTTGTAACTGGATCAGTAAAAATATATTTATTTTCATCAAGTCTTGCTTGTTTGTTGATTTTGTGTGTGCCTATTGTGGTGTATTTTATAGGATCTGTCCTGTTAGTAATATTTTTATATTTATTAAAAAACTTTATAATGTTAAGAAGACTAAAACATCAAGTGAACAAAAGTAAAAGTGACTATTACTATTTGTAGGTTACTTAATATAGTATTAGCAGTTTTCAATTAAGACATTTAATTTTATAAATTTAATTATTTATTATATAACACATTGCATTGTCATCGTAGCTAGTTTTTAAATTTGAAATAAACCAGTTTGGAAGAAGTGGGTAAAACTTTTTTCTCTAATTTCGTTGTCAAAATTTTACCCCTAGATCTATATGCGCAATTGAAAGGTTCAAGATGTAAACAAAAAAATTCGAATATTATTATAGTTTTTTTAGTATAATAGTTTTTTTTTAAAGGAGGACGATTGAACTTTGAGAGTTCCAGTGAGTGAGGAAAGGTAGGCCTAGCCCGTTCTCATTTTGTGGTGATTTTAGGGGGGTGGGGGTGGGAAGGGGAGTGATTAACGTTCGCTCAAGGCTTTCATACAGCACACCCTGGGACAGTAGTGTGGGCAAACCCGTGCCCCGACAAATGTGATCATAGAAATATAGCGCTGGCATTGGCATTGTTTAAATATAAAGAACCCAGTTTTAAAAAACAAGGTCACGCGGCAGCGGCAACGTGCGGGACGGACACTCTAGTAAGCTAATAAAAATAGATCCCTAGAAGTCGACTTAATATTATAAGAGAACAAAGCAATCCCACAAGCGTTTTTCCTTTTAAAAAAATACTAATATTTTTAATCAGTATTTGAAAAGACCAAGATCTCTGAGATGTAGAATCTAGGTAACTTTGAAAGATTTTATAGCCTTTACAAATGGCATCAAAGGGAAACCACTGGCATTGCTTAATAAATTAGGTCACTTGTAAAAATTTTTATTTAGCAACCAGTAGCGTCAAAATGGCGGATGATGACAAAATACTCCAAGATTTACAAGCAGATCTGCAAAGGGCTAAGTCATTAGATCAGCATTTGTCAACTTTAGCGCGCCAAGGGAATGATAAGGTATATCAAGATCTAGAATCTAAATCGAAAGCTGTTCTATTTTTTTGTTTGTATTCCAAATAATATAAAGATAAAGGTTGGTTCCTGTTTTAAATTTAATCTAGCTAGAATCTAGAATTCTAGAGCCTAGTTAGTTAGTAGAAGACACTAGAAGTAGAATGTCGGAATGCCTAGATTCTTGATCTATTTTCTAGACTAGAGCAGAGTGACTCTAGAGCTAGCGCCATTCTTATACATTTAGTATGATTTAGTTTCTTAACTTTTATCTGATATCTTACCCATTTGGCATTTAGTTAGTTTCTTAACTTTTATCTGATGAGTCTGATATCTTACATATTTTTAGTTTCTTAACTTGTAATCTGAGATATTATACATTTAGTTTCTTAACATTTTATCTGAGATCTTACATTTAGTTTCATTACTTTTTGTCTGTGGACATCTGCATTGAATTTCTTTACTCTTTGCCATTGTGTTTTGAAAAAACTGACTTTAAAAATCTGTATTTTAATACACAGCTGGTTCAAGAATTTCTTACAGACAATGTCAGAATACAAATATCTGGTCCGTTAGCCAAGTCTTCGCAACTTTATGTTGGTAGGTATTTTTATGGTGGTGGTAGCTTTATAGTGGTAGGTAACTTTATGGTGGTAGTACCTTTATAGTGGTAGGTAGCTTTATTGTGGTGTTAGCTTTATTGTGGTGGTAGCTTTATTGTGGTGGTAGCTTTATTGTGGTGGTAGCTTTATTGTGGTGGTAGCTTTATTGTGGTAGGTAGCTTTATGGTGGTAGCTTTATGGCAGTAGGTAGCTTTATAGTGGTAGGTAGCTTTATGGTGGTAGTAGCTTTATGGCAGTAGGTAGCTTTATAGTGGTAGGTAGCTTTATGGTGGTAGTAGCTTTATGGTGGTAGGTAGCTTTATAGTGGTAGGTAGCTTTATGGTGGTAGTAGCTTTATGGCAGTAGGTAGCTTTATTGTGGTGGTAGCTTTATTGTGGTGGTAGCTTTATTGTGGTAGGTAGCTTTATAGTGGTAGGTAGCTTTATGGTGGTAGTAGCTTTATGGCAGTAGGTAGCTTTATTGTGGTGGTAGCTTTATTGTGGTGGTAGCTTTATTGTGGTGGTAGCTTTATTGTGGTGGTAGCTTTATTGTGGTGGTAGCTTTATTGTGGTGGTAGCTTTATGGTGGTAGTAGCTTTATGGTGGTAGGTAGCTTTATGGTGGTAGGTAGCTTTATTGTGGTGGTAGCTTTATTGTGGTGGTAGCTTTATTGTGGTAGGTAGCTTTATGGTGGTAGTAGCTTTATAGTGGTAGGTAGCTTTATGGGGGCAGTAGCTTTATAGTGGTAGGTAGCTTTATGGCGGCAGTAGCTTAAAGTGGTAGGTAGCTTTATGGCGGCATAAGCTTTATTGTGGTAGGTAGCTTTTAGGTATTAGCTTTAAATAGTTAAGTTCACACTTTGCTTAATTTATTTACTAAAAAAATGTATTGTAGCTTTGTTTCTATTGTTTGTAAAAATAAAACAATTTGCGACTCTCATTAATAACATTACTAATACCAGTAATTTCCATTGACAGCTTGTTTTTGGGGCATCAAAGATACTGTACAGAAGCTTCTGGAACTTGGTACAAGTAAGTTGGTTTGATAGATTGGTTTAAGAAGAATGTCATTGTCCTGTCGCCTAAAGTGATATAAATTCTATTTTGTTTGGGGGAAGGGGGTGGGGCAAAGAGATGCCTGGAAGAAACTCTGGATCCAAAGATTAATTAAAACTGACAAGAACAGAGGCGTAGCGACCCCTCCCGGCGCCCGGGGACAAACTTTCGATTTGGCACCCCCCCCCCTATATTTTTTATATTTATAATTTCAAAATAGCAGGTAAAATGAGCTTATTTTGGCGCCCCTAGGGTCGGCGCCCGAGGACATATGTACCCCCCTGCCCCCCGGTCGCTACGCCTCTGGACAAGAAGCCTTGTTTTAGGTGTATTTACATTCCATTACTTGTTTCTTTTATAAATATCGAATTTTACAACTTATTTAAGGGTACTGGTATTTATTACAAATATAAATTTACAACCTACATCAATGTTTTTATTTTTTATATATTGGAATGCCTTTAAAAAATATAGCTTTTTTATTTTCACCATAAAATCATGAAATAATTATAGTTATCTTGTATGTAATGTCAATTATATAACTTGGTTCAATTATAAGAATAGATAAACTTGAAAACACTGTCTTACTATGATTAAGAAAGGATTAAAAACAATATAAGAAGCCAACTTTTAATCAAGACATTCTGAAAGGGAAGTAACTCAGAATACATTGAGACACGAATATTTTCTGCAGTTAATGTTCATGAATTTGTTACTAGATCCAAATTTTCAAAACAGTTCAACACTGTGGACCCCACTTCATGCTGCTGCATTTCAGGAACATGGTCCGGTAGGTGGGTTGTGTGGGTCAGATGGGTTGTGTGGGTCAGATGGGTTGTGTGGGTCAGATGGGTTGTGTGGGTCAGGTGGGTCAGATGGGTTGTGTGGGTCAGGTGGGTTGTGTGGGTCAGGTGGGTTGTGTGGGTCAGGTGGGTTGTGTGGGTCAGATGGGTTGTGTGGGTCAGATGGGTTGTGTGGGTCAGATGGGTTGTGTGGGTCAGGTGGGTTGTGTAGGTCAGGTGGGTTGTGTGGGTCAGGTGGGTTGTGTGGGTCAGGTGGGTTGTGTGGGTTGTGTGGGTCTGGTGGGTTGTGTAGGTCAGGTGGGTCAGATGGGTTGTGTGGGTCAGGTGGGTTGTGTAGGTCAGGTGGGTCAGATGGGTTGTGTGGGTCAGGTGGGTTGTGTAGGTCAGGTGGGTCAGATGGGTTGTGTGGGTCAGGTGGGTTGTGTGGGTCAGGTGGGTTGTGTGGGTTGTGTGGGTCTGGTGGGTTGTATGGGTTGTGTGGGTTGTGTGGGTCAGGTGGGTTGTGTGGGTCTGGTGGGTTGTGTGGGTTGTGTGGGTCTGGTGGGTTGTGTGGGTCAGGTGGGTCAGATGGGTTGTGTGGGTTGTGTGGGTCAGGTGGGTCAGATGGGTTGTGTGGGTCAGGTGGGTTGTGTAGGTCAGGTGGGTCAGATGGGTTGTGTGGGTCAGGTGGCTTGTGTGGGTCAGGTGGGTTGTGTGGGTTGTGTGGGTCAGGTGGGTTGTGTGGGTCAGGTGGGTTGTGTGGGTCAGATGGGTTGTGTGGGTTGTGTGGGTCAGGTGGGTTGTGTGGGTCAGGTGGGTTGTGTGGGTTGTGTGGGTCAGGTGGGTTGTGTGGGTTGTGTGGGTCAGGTGGGTTGTGTGGGTCAGGTGGGTCAGGTGGGTTGTGTGGGTCAGATGGGTTGTGTGGGTCAGGTGGGTTGTGTGGGTTGTGTGGGTCAGGTGGGTTGTGTGGGTCAGGTGGGTTGTGTGGGTTGTGTGGGTCAGGTGGGTTGTGTGGGTCAGGTGGGTCAGGTGGGTTGTGTGGGTCAGATGGGTTGTGTGGGTTGTGTGGGTCAGGTGGGTTGTGTGGGTCAGGTGGGTTGTGTGGGTTGTGTGGGTCAGGTGGGTTGTGTGGGTCAGGTGGGTCAGGTGGGTCAGATGGGTTGTGTGGGTTGTGTGGGTCAGGTGGGTTGTGTGGGTCAGGTGGGTTGTGTGGGTTGTGTGGGTCAGGTGGGTTGTGTGGGTCAGGTGGGTTGTGTGGGTTGTGTGGGTCAGGTGGGTTGTGTGGGTCAGGTGGGTCAGGTGGGTTGTGTGGGTCAGATGGGTTGTGTGGGTCAGGTGCGTTGTGTGGGTCAGATAAATTGTGTGGGTCAGGTGGGTTGTGTGGGTTGTGTGGGTCTGGTGGGTTGTATGGGTTGTGTGGGTCAGGTGGGTTGTGTGGGTCTGGTGGGTTGTGTGGGTTGTGTGGGTCAGGTGGGTTGTGTGGGTTGTATGGGTTGTGTGGGTTGTGTGGGTCAGGTGGGTTGTGTGGGTCAGGTGGGTTGTGTGGGTCTGGTGGGTTGTGTGGGTTGTGTGGGTCTGGTGGGTTGTGTGGGTCAGGTGGGTTGTGTGGGTCAGGTGGGTTGTGTGGGTCTGGTGGGTTGTATGGGTTGTGTGGGTTGTGTGGGTCAGGTGGGTTGTGTGGGTTGTGTGGGTCTGGTGGGTTGTATGGGTTGTGTGGGTCAGGTGGGTTGTGTGGGTCTGGTGGGTTGTGTGGGTTGTGTGGGTCAGGTGGGTTGTGTGGGTCTGGTGGGTTGTATGGGTTGTGTGGGTCAGGTGGGTTGTGTGGGTCAGGTGGGTTGTGTGGGTCTGGTGGGTTGTGTGGGTTGTGTGGGTCAGGTGGGTTGTGTGGGTCAGGTGGGTTGTGTGGGTTGTGTGGGTCAGGTGGGTTGTGTGGGTCTGGTGGGTTGTATGGGTTGTGTGGGTTGTGTGGGTCAGGTGGGTTGTGTGGGTCAGGTGGGTTGTGTGGGTCTGGTGGGTTGTGTGGGTTGTGTGGGTCAGGTGGGTTGTGTGGGTCTGGTGGGTTGTATGGGTTGTGTGGGTTGTGTGGGTCAGGTGGGTTGTGTGGGTCTGGTGGGTTGTGTGGGTCAGGTGGGTTGTGTGGGTTGTGTGGGTCAGGTGGGTTGTGTGGGTCAGATGGGTTGTGTGGGTCAGATGGGTTGTGTGGGTCAGGTGGGTTGTGTGGGTTGTGTGGGTCAGGTGGGTTGTGTGGGTCAGGTGGGTTGTGTGGGTCAGATGGGTTGTGTGGGTCAGATGGGTTGTGTGGGTCAGGTGGGTTGTGTGGGTCAGATGGGTTGTGTGGGTCAGGTGGGTTGTGTGGGTCTGGTGGGTTGTGTGGGTCAGGTGGGTTGTATGGGTTGTGTGGGTTGTGTGGGTCAGGTGGGTTGTGTGGGTCTGGTGGGTTGTGTGGGTCTGGTGGGTTGTGTGGGTCAGGTGGGTTGTGTGGGTCAGATGGGTTGTGTGGGTCAGGTGGGTTGTGTGGGTCAGATGGGTTGTGTGGGTCAGGTGGGTTGTGTGGGTTGTGTGGGTCAGATGGGTTGTGTGGGTCAGGTGGGTTGTGTGGGTCAGGTGGGTTGTGTGGGTCAGGTGGGTTGTGTGGGTCAGGTGGGTTGTGTGGGTCAGATGGGTTGTGTGGGTCAGATGGGTTGTGTGGGTCAGGTGGGTTGTGTGGGTTGTGTGGGTCAGATGGGTTGTGTGGGTCAGGTGGGTTGTGTGGGTCAGGTGGGTTGTGTGGGTCTGGTGGGTTGTGTGGGTTGTGTGGGTCTGGTGGGTTGTGTGGGTCAGGTGGGTCAGATGGGTTGTGTGGGTCAGGTGGGTTGTGTGGGTCAGATGGGTTGTGTGGGTCAGATGGGTTGTGTGGGTCAGATGGGTTGTGTGGGTCAGGTGGGTTGTGTGGGTCAGATGGGTTGTGTGGGTCAGATGGGTTGTGTGGGTCAGGTGGGTTGTGTGGGTCAGGTGGGTTGTTGTAGTTGGCTGAATGATTGACATTGTAATTTCTGTAATTTGTGTCAAGTTTGCTGTTTGTTATTGCTGTGTTTATTCTACAGGTTGTTATGTGTTTGTTGTGTTTATTCTAAAGGTTGTTATGTGTTTGTTGTGTTTCTTCTAAAGGTTGTTATGTTATTGTTGTGTTTATTCTAAAGGTTGTTATGTTATTGTTGTGTTTATTCTAAAGGTTGTTATGTTATTGTTGTGTTTATTCTAAAGGTTATTATGTTATTGTTGTGTTTATTCTAAAGGTTGTTATGTTATTGTTGTGTTTATTCTAAAGGTTGTTATGTTATTGTTGTGTTTATTCTAAAGGTTGTTATATTATTGTTGTGTTTATTCTAAAGGTTGTTATGTTATTGTTGTGTTTATTCTAAAGGTTGTTATATTATTGTTGTGTTTATTCTAAAGGTTGTTATGTTATTGTTGTGTTTATTCTAAAGGTTGTTATGTTATTGTTGTGTTTATTCTAAAGGTTGTTATGTTATTGTTGTGTTTATTCTAAAGGTTGTTATGTTATTGTTGTGTTTATTCTAAAGGTTGTTATGTTATTGTTGTGTTTATTCTAAAGGTTGTTATGTTATTGTTGTGTTTATTCTAAAGGTTGTTATGTTATTGTTGTGTTTATTCTAAAGGTTGTTATGTTATTGTTGTGTTTATTCTAAAGGTTGTTATGTTATTGTTGTGTTTATTCTAAAGGTTGTTATGTTATTGTTGTGTTTATTCTAAAGGTTGTTATGTTATTGTTGGAATATGGAGCTGAGGCTGAGATTCCAGATGCTGAAAACAGGTCAGTTCAGCTGTGTGTCCTCTCAGTTGTGTGTCCTCTCAGTTGTGTGTCCTCTCAGTTGTGTGTCCTCTCAGTTGTGTGTCCTCTCAGTTATGTGTCCTCTCACTTGTGTGTCCTCTCACTTGTGTGTCCTCTCACTTGTGTGTCCTCTCACTTGTGTGTCCTCTCACTTGTGTGTCCTCTCACTTGTGTGTCCTCTCACTTGTTTGTCCCCTCACTTGTGTGTCCTCTCACTTGTGTGTCCTCTCGCTTGTGTGTCCTATCAGTTGTGTGTCCTCTCAGTTGTGTGTCCTCTCACTTGTGTGTCCTCTCACTTGTGTGTCCTCTCAGTTGTGTGTCCTGTCAGTTGTGTGTCCTCTCACTTGTGTGTCCTCTCAGTTGTGTGTCCTCTCAGTTGTGTGTCCTCTCAGTTGTGTGTCCTCTCAGTTGTGTGTCCTCTCAGTTGTGTGTCCTCTCAGTTGTGTGTCCTCTCAGTTGTGTGTCCTCTCACCTGTGTCCTCTCACTTGTTTGTTGTGTAGCCTCACAGTGTGATATGTTTTACTGAGTATGATGTTCCCACAATAGAACCTGTCTAATGATAATTTAAGCTTCACCAGTGCCAGATAATTGCCTGTTTTATCTCTGGCACCAACAGAACAGCTGCCCAATTCGCCTCAGCTTCTGATGTAATCTGGCCACTTTTTGCCGCACTGAACATCCCCCGCACCCCACGCAGTGAGCTGGTGGAGAGGAATATTTTACGACCAGTAAGTCTGTACATTGAGACAAATTCTTTTGATGCCATCATGTGTCTTGATGTGTGTTGATGTGTGTGTGTTTAGCATGAGTTCATCTATGTAAATGTAGAACATCATCTGTACTGAAGATTTTCTCATTTCATGACTAGAATTTATATTTACCCTTGGTTTAAAAGATGTTGTCATTTTTAACGCTTAAAATTTATCTTTGGCTTAAAACTGTAAACCATTCTTGTAGGGTTCTGGAATGATGCAGACAAAGAGCCCAAGCTTAGGAATAAATATAGTAGGACCATTTCTTTCTAGATTAATTAGGTTCATTTACAAGGATTTTAAATGATATAAGTAATATAGCAGGACCATTTATTATTTATTTATATAATAATTAGGTATATTTAGACATTTTTAAAAATGATGTTGTGGTGAGCAATAAATTCTAAATCACATAGTGTTTGCACAACATACGTGAGTACAGGTGTGTTAACATTTGTTTGAAGTGAGTTGACAACACACCTGTTTGATGTGAGTTGACAACACATGTTTACGTTTGTGTTAACATCTGTTTGATGTGAGTTGACAACACATGTTTGATGTGAGTTGAAAACACATGTTTGATGTGAGTTGACAACACCTGTTTGATGTGAGTTGACAACACACCTGTTTGATGTGAGTTGAAAACACATGTTTGATGTGAGTTGACAACACACCTGTTTGATGTGAGTTGACAACACACCTGTTTGATGTGAGTTGACAACACATGTTTGATGTGAGTTGACAACACCTGTTTGATGTGAGTTGACAACACACCTGTTTGATGTGAGTTGACAACACACCTGTTTGATGTGAGTTGACAACACACCTGTTTGATGTGAGTTGACAATACATGTTTGATGTGAGTTGACAACACATGTTTGATGTGAGTTGACAACACATGTTTGATGTGAGTTGACAACACATGTTTGATGTGAGTTGACAACACCTGTTTGATGTGAGTTGACAACACACCTGTTTGATGTGAGTTGACAACACACCTGTACACACGTCAGCTGAGACAACACACCTGTTTGATGTAAGGTCTATTGCCAGGTTGGCTACAAGCCCAGCCCCCGCAGTGAAGAGAGGGCGTACTTCGCTGCTGTGTCTGGTGATGTCCTGGCCAATCAGGAGGATGAGATGGGACCACCTGACACCCGTACACAGCCCAATTATTCCATCTGGAAATAGAACTGGCCTCGGAGACATCAAATGACTCCAGCGGTTGATGTCAGTGATGTGGCATGCAGGATTGGTGTCATACAGCAGTGGTGTCATGTGGCATTGGTGTCATACAGCAGTGGTGTCATGTGGCATTGGTGTCATACAGCAGTGGTGTCATGTGGCATTGGTGTCATACAGCAGTGGTGTCATGTGGCATTGGTGTCATACAGCAGTGGTGTCATGTGGCATTGGTGTCATACAGCAGTGGTGTCATGTGGTAGTGGTGTCATGTGGCAGTGGTGTCATCCAGCATTTGGTGTCATCCAGCATTTGGTGTCATCCAGCATTTGGTGTCATGTGGCATTGTTGTGACACAAGAACTGTCTGTCCTACAGGACTTGTAGACAGATCCGGCAACTGTCCTACAGGACTTGTAGACAGATCCGGCAACTGTCCTGGTCCTATACAGCCATGAGAAAAACTTGCTAAAAATAGATTGTGATGTCAGCCCATGCTAGATACAACACATTACAAGACAAGTTTGGACAAATGGCTGAAAGTTTTGTTGTACACTTGCTGGTGTGGGGGAGTCGCCCAGTGGAACAGGTTTTGTTTTCAAGTTTTTCAAGGAATATAAAATAAGAAAATATTTTCAAATTTGGTACTGATTTGGTTTTGTTTTCAAGTTTTTCAAGGAATATAAAATAAGAAAATATTTTCAAATTTGGTACTGATTTGGTTTTGTTTTCAAGTTTTTCAAGGAATATAAAATAAGAAAATATTTTCAAATTTGGTACTGATTTGGTTTTGTTTTCAAGTTTTTCAAGGAATATAAAATAAGAAAATATTTTCAAATTTGGTACTGATTTGGTTTTGTTTTCAAGTTTTTCAAGGAATATAAAATAAGAAAATATTTTCAAATTTGGTACTGATTTGGTTTTGTTTTCAAGTTTTTCAAGGAATATAAAATAAGAAAATATTTTCAAATTTGGTACTGATTTGGTTTTGTTTTCAAGTTTTTCAAGGAATATAAAATAAGAAAATATTTTCAAATTTGGTACTGATTTGGTTTTGTTTTCAAGTTTTTCAAGGAATATAAAATAAGAAAATATTTTCAAATTTGGTACTGATTTGGTTTTGTTTTCAAGTTTTTCAAGGAATATAAAATAAGAAAATATTTTCAAATTTGGTACTGATTTGGTTTTGTTTTCAAGTTTTTCAAGGAATATAAAATAAGAAAATATTTTCAAATTTGGTACTGATTTGGTTTTGTTTTCAAGTTTTTCAAGGAATATAAAATAAGAAAATATTTTCAAATTTGGTACTGATTTGGTTTTGTTTTCAAGTTTTTCAAGGAATATAAAATAAGAAAATATTTTCAAATTTGGTACTGATTTGGTTTTGTTTTCAAGTTTTTCAAGGAATATAAAATAAGAAAATATTTTCAAATTTGGTACTGATTTGGTTTTGTTTTCAAGTTTTTCAAGGAATATAAAATAAGAAAATATTTTCAAATTTGGTACTGATTTGGTTTTGTTTTCAAGTTTTTCAAGGAATATAAAATAAGAAAATATTTTCAAATTTGGTACTGATTTGGTTTTGTTTTCAAGTTTTTCAAGGAATATAAAATAAGAAAATATTTTCAAATTTGGTACTGATTTGGTTTTGTTTTCAAGTTTTTCAAGGAATATAAAATAAGAAAATATTTTCAAATTTGGTACTGATTTGGTTTTGTTTTCAAGTTTTTCAAGGAATATAAAATAAGAAAATATTTTCAAATTTGGTACTGATTTGGTTTTGTTTTCAAGTTTTTCAAGGAATATAAAATAAGAAAATATTTTCAAATTTGGTACTGATTTGGTTTTGTTTTCAAGTTTTTCAAGGAATATAAAATAAGAAAATATTTTCAAATTTGGTACTGATTTGGTTTTGTTTTGAGAACACAAATTCTGTAGGTTGTCAGGCAACTTTTAACATTTGTGTTGTCAGTTGACTGGGTCAGTGGTTTAGGTCAGGGGGTCAGCTAACTGCATGATTCAGGGGGTCAGGTGTACTGCATGATTCAGGGGTACTGCATGTTTCAGGGGGTCAGGGGTACTGCATGATTCAGGGGGTCAGGGGTACTGCATGATTCAGGGGGTCAGGGGTACTGCATGATTCAGGGGGTCAGGGGTACTGCTTGATTCAGGGGGTCAGGTGTACTGCATGATTCAGGGGGTCAGGTGTACTGCTTGATTCAGGGGGTCAGGTGTACTGCATGATTCAGGTGTACTGCTTGATTCAGGGGGTCAGGTGTACTGCATGATTCAGGGGGTCAGGGGTACTGCATGATTCAGGGGGTCAGGGGTACTGCATGATTCAGGGGGTCAGGTGTACTGCTTGATTCAGGGGGTCAGGTGTACTGCTTGATTCAGGGGGTCAGGTGTACTGCATGATTCAGGGGGTCAGGGGTACTGCTTGATTCAGGGGGTCAGGTGTACTGCTTGATTCAGGGGGTCAGGGGTACTGCATGATTCAGGGGGTCAGGGGTACTGCATGATTCAGGGGGTCAGGGGTACTGCATGATTCAGGGGGTCAGGGGTACTGCATGATTCAGGGGGTCAGGGGTACTGCATGATTCAGGGGGTCAGGTGTACTGCTTGATTCAGGGGGTCAGGTGTACTGCTTGATTCAGGGGGTCAGGTGTACTGCATGATTCAGGGGGTCAGGGGTACTGCATGATTCAGGTGTACTGCTTGATTCAGGGGGTCAGGGGTACTGCTTGATTCAGGGGGTCAGGTGTACTGCATGATTCAGGGGTACTGCTTGATTCAGGGGGTCAGGGGTACTGCATGATTCAGGGGTACTGCTTGATTCAGGGGGTCAGGTGTACTGCATGATTCAGGGGGTCAGGGGTACTGCATGATTCAGGGGTACTGCTTGATTCAGGGGGTCAGGGGTACTGCATGATTCAGGGGGTCAGGGGTACTGCTTGATTCAGGGGGTCAGGTGTACTGCATGATTCAGGGGTACTGCATGATTCAGGGGGTCAGGTGTACTGCATGATTCAGGGGTTCTGCTTGATTCAGGGGGTCAGGGGTACTGCCTGATTCAGGAGGTCAGGTGTACTGCATGATTCAGGGGGTCAGGGGTACTGCATGATTCAGGGGGTCAGGTGTATTACATGATTCAGGGGGTCAGGGGTACTGCCTGATTCAGGGGGTCAGGTGTACTGCATGATTCAGGGTGTCAGGGGTACTGCATGATTCAGGGGGTCAGGTGTACTGCATGATTCAGGGGGTCAGGTGTACTGCATGATTCAGGGGGTCAGGTGTACTGCATGATTCAGGGGGTCAGGTGTACTGCATGATTCAGGGGGTCAGGTGTACTGCTTGATTCAGGGGGTCAGGTGTACTGCTTGATTCAGGGGGTCAGGTGTACTGCTTGATTCAGGGGGTCAGGTGTACTGCATGATTCAGGGGTACTGCTTGATTCAGGGGGTCAGGTGTACTGCATGATTCAGGGGTACTGCTTGATTCAGGGGGTCAGGTGTACTGCATGATTCAGGGGGTCAGGTGTACTGCTTGATTCAGGGGGTCAGGTGTACTGCATGATTCAGGGGGTCAGGTTTACTGCATGATTCAGGTGTACTGCATGATTCAGGGGGTCAGGTGTACTGCATGATTCAGGGGGTCAGGTGTACTGCATGATTCAGGGGGTCAGGTGTACTGCATGATTCAGGGGGTCAGGGGTACTGCATGATTCAGGTGTACTGCATGATTCAGGGGGTCAGGGGTACTGCATGATTCAGGGGGTCAGGGGTACTGCATGATTCAGGGGGTCAGGTGTACTGCTTGATTCAGGGGGTCAGGTGTACTGCATGATTCAGGGGGTCAGGGGTACTGCCTGATTCAGGGGGTCAGGTGTACTGCTTGATTCAGGGGGTCAGGTGTACTGCATGATTCAGGGGGTCAGGTTTACTGCATGATTCAGGTGTACTGCATGATTCAGGGGGTCAGGTGTACTGCATGATTCAGGGGGTCAGGTGTACTGCATGATTCAGGGGGTCAGGTGTACTGCATGATTCAGGGGGTCAGGGGTACTGCATGATTCAGGTGTACTGCATGATTCAGGGGGTCAGGGGTACTGCATGATTCAGGGGGTCAGGGGTACTGCTTGATTCAGGGGGTCAGGTGTACTGCTTGATTCAGGGGGTCAGGTGTACTGCATGATTCAGGGGGTCAGGGGTACTGCCTGATTCAGGGGGTCAGGTGTACTGCTTGATTCAGGGGGTCAGGTGTACTGCATGATTCAGGGGGTCAGGTTTACTGCATGATTCAGGTGTACTGCATGATTCAGGGGGTCAGGGGTACTGCCTGATTCAGGGGGTCAGGTGTACTGCTTGATTCAGGGGGTCAGGTGTACTGCATGATTCAGGGGGTCAGGGGTACTGCATGATTCAGGGGGTCAGGGTACTGCTTGATTCAGGGGGTCAGGTGTACTGCTTGATTCAGGGGGTCAGGTGTACTGCTTGATTCAGGGGGTCAGGTGTACTGCATGATTCAGGGGGTCAGGGGTACTGCATGATTCAGGGGGTCAGGGGTACTGCATGATTCAGGGGGTCAGGGGTACTGCATGATTCAGGGGGTCAGGGGTACTGCATGATTCAGGGGGTCAGGTGTACTGCTTGATTCAGGGGGTCAGGTGTACTGCTTGATTCAGGGGGTCAGGTGTACTGCATGATTCAGGGGGTCAGGGGTACTGCATGATTCAGGTGTACTGCTTGATTCAGGGGGTCAGGGGTACTGCTTGATTCAGGGGGTCAGGTGTACTGCATGATTCAGGGGGTCAGGTGTACTACTAGATTCAGGGGGTCAGGTGTACTGCATGATTCAGGGGTACTGCTTGATTCAGGGGGTCAGGGGTACTGCATGATTCAGGGGGTCAGGGGTACTGCTTGATTCAGGGGGTCAGGTGTACTGCATGATTCAGGGGGTCAGGTGTACTGCATGATTCAGGGGTACTGCTTGATTCAGGGGGTCAGGGGTACTGCATGATTCAGGGGGTCAGGGGTACTGCTTGATTCAGGGGGTCAGGTGTACTGCATGATTCAGGGGGTCAGGGGTACTGCATGATTCAGGGGTATTGCTTGATTCAGGGGGTCAGGGGTACTGCATGATTCAGGGGGTCAGGGGTACTGCTTGATTCAGGGGGTCAGGTGTACTGCATGATTCAGGGGTACTGCATGATTCAGGGGGTCAGGTGTACTGCATGATTCAGGGGTACTGCTTGATTCAGGGGGTCAGGTGTACTGCATGATTCAGGGGGTCAGGGGTACTGCTTGATTCAGGGGGTCAGGTGTACTGCATGATTCAGGGGTACTGCATGATTCAGGGGGTCAGGTGTACTGCATGATTCAGGGGTTCTGCTTGATTCAGGGGGTCTGGTGTACTGCATGATTCAGGGGGTCAGGGGTACTGCATGATTCAGGGGGTCAGGTGTATTACATGATTCAGGGGGTCAGGGGTACTGCCTGATTCAGGGGGTCAGGTGTACTGCATGATTCAGGGGGTCAGGTGTACTGCTTGATTCAGGGGGTCAGGGGTACTACATGATTCAGGGGGTCAGGTGTACTGCATGATTCAGGGTGTCAGGGGTACTGTATGATTCAGGGGGTCAGGTGTACTGCATGATTCAGGGGGTCAGGTGTACTGCATGATTCAGGGGGTCAGGTGTACTGCATGACTCAGGGGGTCAGGGGTACTGCATGATTCAGGGGGTCAGGTGTACTGCATGATTCAGGGGGTCAGGTGTACTGCATGATTCAGGGGGTCAGGTGTACTGCATGATTCAGGGGGTCAGGTGTACTGCATGATTCAGGGGGTCAGGTGTACTGCATGATTCAGGGGGTCAGGTTTACTGCATGATTCAGGTGTACTGCATGATTCAGGGGGTCAGGTGTACTGCATGATTCAGGGGGTCAGGTGTACTGCATGATTCAGGGGGTCAGGTGTACTGCATGATTCAGGGGGTCAGAGGTACTGCATGATTCAGGTGTACTGCATGATTCAGGGGGTCAGGGGTACTGCATGATTCAGGGGGTCAGGGGTACTGCTTGATTCAGGGGGTCAGGTGTACTGCTTGATTCAGGGGGTCAGGTGTACTGCATGATTCAGGGGGTCAGGGGTACTGCCTGATTCAGGGGGTCAGGTGTACTGCTTGATTCAGGGGGTCAGGTGTACTGCATGATTCAGGGGGTCAGGGGTACTGCATGATTCAGGGGGTCAGTGGTACTGCTTGATTCAGGGGGTCAGGTGTACTGCTTGATTCAGGGGGTCAGGTGTACTGCTTGATTCAGGGGGTCAGGTGTACTGCATGATTCAGGGGTACTGCAAGATTCAGGGGGTCAGGGGTACTGCATGATTCAGGGGTACTGCATGATTCAGGGGGTCAGGTGTACTGCATGATTCAGGGGGTCAGGTGTACTGCTTGATTCAGGGGGTCAGGTGTACTGCATGATTCAGGGGGTCAGGGGTACTGCCTGATTCAGGGGGTCAGGTGTACTGCTTGATTCAGGGGGTCAGGTGTACTGCATGATTCAGGGGGTCAGGGGTACTGCATGATTCAGGGGGTCAGGGGTACTGCATGATTCAGGGGGTCAGGTGTACTGCATGATTCAGGGGGTCAGGGGTACTGCATGATTCAGGGGGTCAGGTGTACTGCATGATTCAGGGGGTCAGGGGTACTGCTTGATTCAGGGGGTCAGGTGTACTGCATGATTCAGGGGGTCAGGTGTACTGCATGATTCAGGGGGTCAGGTGTACTGCATGATTCAGGGGGTCAGGTGTACTGCTTGATTCAGGGGGTCAGATGTACTGCTTGATTCAGGGGGTCAGGTGTACTGCTTGATTCAGGGGGTCAGGTGT